GTCTGAGGTTATTTCCATTTACTTTGAATGAAGCGGCAAAGCAATGGTTGAATAACCATCGACATCACTCCATCACCTCATGGGAATATCTATACAACAAGTTCTTCGCAATTTATATTCTGCCCTCTAAGACGGCTTTAATGAGAAGCGAGATTACTATGTTCCGTCAAGAGGAGGATGAGCCATTGTTTGAAGTATGGAAAAAGTTTACGTCTCTCCTACTCAAATGTCCACACCATGGCATCGCCGATTGGTTACAAGTGGAAAGTTTTTATAATGGTTTAACAAGGGAGTCATGCCAACTCATCGATGCGGCTAGTGGAGGTGCCATTAGGAACAAGGAAGTCGATGAACCTCAAAGATTGATTGAAGAAATATTCGTAAATAGCTACGATTGGGGAATGGAAGGAGAGGCAAGAGTGTGAAGAAGGAAAGTAATAATTGTCGAAAACATATTGATTTTGTGTGCTTAATGTGATTATTACATTATATGTTTGAGACATATAATGTTTGTTTTAGGTTCAACTAAGCCTAGAATGGTTATAAAACCATTACCACCGAGAGCCATGTGTTTGATGTATTTCAGGTGAAGAAAAAGAAAAAATAGCAACACGGGCAGTTCCAACTTATTGTAATTTACTAAATAACACACACATAAAAGAACGTGTAATTTTGTTATGGGTCAAAAGCTGGACCAAATCCTCACGAAGCAAAGTAATAGCCTCGCCATCAAGACTAACCAACACGTCACTGTTATACAAGAACAAGTTCAAACACCACAATATTAGAATAAGGCAAATAAGAAAGACATCCTACAAATATGATCCAATCTTACTTATAATGATTCCGAGAGGTACCTTTCGGGAAGGTCACTACTAAATAGAAATTGAAGCATCTTTAGAGCCTCTTGAGTCAGTGGTGTCCTACAAGAAAAGGGAGGAGCAAGGTACAAAAATGGTGGTTTCTTAGCTTTGGGATTTGCATGTTTGAATGGAGAGACTACATACAAGCTAGGCTTCAATTTAGATACACTACGTAGTCCACCTCGATTTGGCCCCTTTATTGTTCCAAAACACAAAAACAAAACCAGTCCATTAGTAACCACACCATAAGAAAAAATATTAGAAAATTCAATAGTGTAATAAATGCTCGAAATTCATTCTCCATCTTCATAACCCGACCTATTATCTCTTCATCTCTAGAAGCAACATCCCCCACTGCGACTTTAAATTCTTTCCTCAAGTCTTCAAAACTAGCCTCCATCTTACTAAAACGAGCATCAATACGCTTACAAAGAAGCAGCTCATCCCGGTCGTTTTGTGCCTTTTTCCCGTCATTTTTGGGTCGTTCCCTTGGAGATGATTGCAAACCTACATCCTCGGATGATCTTTTCCCCGAACTGCTTGAAACCTGTAAATTAATTAAAAGGGAATAAAATATACCATTATCATGCTCCAACTCGTCGAAAGAATCAAATATACCATTTTGCACTATCATCTAATAACGCTTACCACTTTCATTAACAATAAGTCTGTCTTTGCTCCCCCAACTCATCAAAGGCAAACTTGTATCAATGGTATGGGAAATATCATTTGCAAGTTCCAAGAATATTAACTATCAAACAAAAAAGATATATTCAACATGATGACTAATCATTATGAATATGTAAAAAGTACGGCTAAGTAAGTATTTACCTCCAAAAATGGCAAGCAACCAGGTATATACTTTTTCCTAGATGCATTATGGCTGCAGATGGATTTCACCAATTCATTGAAGCAATAGGATGCCCAATTTTTCTTCGGAGTATCCACAACAACGGAAAGAGCGTATGCCGAAAATAAAGAAATGTTGATCACATCGATCTATGCAGATTATTGTCAATGGTTAGCACGTGTCAAGCACTACCCCATCTTAACCCAAGTTTAACCTAAGACGACATTGAAGTATAGTGGTAATCAAGGTCCTATTTTTCTCCACTCATGGTACCCTAGCCTACTTCCCACCTAGCTACTAATTATTTAATCGATTTTAGAGGTTTAAGTGGAGGATTTGAGGAGATAACTAGACTAGAGATTGATCAAAGCTAAAAGCGGGTACTTCGGGGAACTAACCCTCCCCCTAGCTTAGGGTTATCGAATGTGATGAGTGAACTCTTTTCCATGGGCCTTCGGGGTTATCCACGCGCCTCCGAGTACGCCTCCCCTAAACCCATATATAGTCAACACGATCTACGCTATCGTATCTGGGAATTAAGCATATGGCTCATTTCAATGGGCACTATCCACCGTCCACACCTAGGTTTTATCCCGGGTTTTATCTAGGAAGGCTAACCTATGGTAGGGGTTCGGTCACCTCGACCACCCTAGGTCCTTATTCATACATCTATTACGTTTTGATCTATTGCGCATACCCTTCTAACCCTAGAACTCCAAACCCAGCGCGGAAACATAAAGTAGGCTAATAGAGAAGATTGGGGCACCCTACCACAAACACAATCCAAGATAGAATAGCAATTAAATCAACTAGATAAACACACTCATTCATACAAACTCTAAAATACCCATACATACATAATAAACCCTAAAATGAGGGTTTGGGGTTTAGAACCTCTAGTACCTTAGCGGACTTCTCCATGAAGGAGGGAAGAAGAAATATAAAAGAAATTGAAGAAGACTTGGGTTGAGGAAGAAGCTCCCTCTCTTCTAGCTCCTTCTTCTTCCTTCAACTTATCTCTCTTCTCTCTCTAAAACAAGAAATTTCTCTCAAAATTAGCTCATCTAAAAAGGGGAAAGGGGTATTCTATTTATAGGCATTATGGGGACGGAGACGTTTTTTGCCATAGGTGAGGAGATCACAGGTAGGATCTTCTAAGGAGAGACCGCGATCTCAAAACACCATTGTCATGGCCTTCTAAAAGGGGAAGATCGCGGGCTGACTTCGCGGTCGCGATCTTCCTTGCAGGAAAAATGTGCTTTGACTGTGACTTGACTGGGAAAACTTTCTGTTTCTCCATGGCTCCTTCCTCGCAAAGTTTGCGCCCTAAGCCCTCCAATCTGCGGCCGCAATCTTGGGCTTCCTGGCCACGATCTTTAGCTTGACTTTGCGGGATGTGTTCCTGACCGTGATCTTCAGCTTCCAGGCCACGATCTTTAGCTTTCTGCCCCTTAGCCACACTTGTGACCTTGTTTTGTACCTAATTCGCATGTATTGTCTAATACACCCTAAAATCATATCGAATTCAAATAGGAACGAAATGGGGATGCAATTGACGATGTTTAAGAATTTATGCACACAAATTGGCACGAAACAAACCTTAATATGAAGGGAAAATAACACCAATTTAGGTGTTATCAAATGTCATCTCTTCTGGTAGGTACTAGTAGCACACCCATTACGTACAATATAAAAGTTTGAGCATATAGATCGCTGCTATCTTTTGAATCCCGCAACATTTTGCGCATTATGCTTGTGGAAATCGCATGTCGGCCACAACTAGTAGTCGAATACACTCTAAATGCATCCAGTTCCCCGGATCTCCCTCCCACTTCTTCACCATCCAAGACGATATCACTACCACCCTCTGGTACACCCATTATTCGCTCAAAATCTTTTGCCAAAATGTTCACCTTCAACCCATGCACTTGAATTGTTGTATCTTACAGATTAAAGCTCCTTAAGAGTTCTTCCAACAACTCACGTTGTAAAATTATTTCCTTGACTTCAAGCATCCGACCTAAGCCACAACTCTTAATGGTCGGTACTCGAATACACTCTAAATGCATCCAAGACGATATCACTAGCTATGGTAATGCAAAAGCAAAGCATAGACCAACAACAACAATAGAGCATTGTTGTGCCTATGCATTTTTTGGTTTGGTTTGGTCATCATGATATGAGTATGATGGATGCCTAACTAAAGATCCTATGGTTTAATAATTCTAACCCCCAAAACAAAGCCACTTGTATTAGTACATTATAGGGAGAAATCGTTCCCGACAAAGCAATCTATTAATTCATTTCATCGAATGGGAAAGGATATCAATGTTAAACCAGATAGAGTGAAACAAAAGCAGATTCCATATCCATGTTGCTCAATGCTAAGCAAGGCTTCTAAAACAACATCAACAATGAGCAATCAAATCAAACTCGTTCAGTCTATCTATCAACACTATTGATTCAAGTCTTTATTGTTCTGTTGAATATAAGTTACAATGAAGTTAAATGTAGTGTCCAACTATACATACCTTGTTAATCCAGTAAGAATTGAGAACCTTGAGTCCACCAAGCTTCCTCCAGCACGTTCCTCTGTAACTGATTGCTTGCTAGGCTGGAACTTGAGCCGAGTCACACCCTGGTTTGTGGGCTTCCTATACACAATACCTTAGGAACTGGTATCTTCCTTCCACCATGCCTCACACCCACTCGGTAAACGACGTAGCCCTACAATCATTCACACAATACTAAAGCAGGGCGAACAGAAGATAAAGCATCAATCAGAAGAGACTCCAAAATTGCAGAACACAATCGCGATTGCTCACCACCTTCACTATCGACGAAGAGACCCACCACGAAACACAATTGCAGAAGAGGAAAGTTGAAACACACCGTCGCCATCGCCCTATTTCAAATGATGTTTCAACATTCCCGTCGTTGAAGCTCAACCCCTTCACTATCGACAAAGAGACCCATGGCGTCGCCGTTGCCCTATTTCAGGTGCTGGTTCGCCGTCGTCGTCGCCCTATTTCAAATGCTGGTTCATCGTCGCCGTCGGTGCTACTCAACCCCTTCACTATTGACGAAGAGACGCGTGGTGAAATCCCACTACTGAAGAGTAGAGTCCAGTATATTGACATCGACGAGCTCAATCACCTTCTCCTCTATTGGATTTCAAATTTTTTAATTATTATATTCGTTACCGGTATTTTATAACAAGATCTAATGACTCTAAGTATATTAAAGCATCAATGCTATATAGCATACTAAAATGTCTCCTAGTTTAACACATAGAAATAACAAAAATGAAGTGTAGAGTCAAAGCGGGGAGAAGGAACATGAAGGTACTATGATGCCAACATGGCACTCAAAAGGTAACTACCCTGGAAGGGAGGTGAAGGTTGCCACTCAGGGTCCTGGAAGATGATGCCCTGCATGAATATATGTCTCCTTGTGTCATGCTCTCGGGCAATCTGGGAAGAAACTCCTACAAACTCCTCCTCGAGTGTAGAGACTTGGGCTTCAAGGTTTCTCGAGGAAGAAGGTCCGACTCCATATGATAAAGAATCACTTGTATGGCCACATCAGCGTGATGGTGGAGCTCTCTGGGGTGCCTTTAGAACCTCCTCCATCACTGGTCTGAAAGTGACAAAGGTTTTAGGCCATGGATGTACTCGATGCCACTCTCGATGCAAACTAGCCTCATGTGGTGGAGTGTCTCCACTGAAAAGATCTTCACATTGCCCTAGTCCCCTCCAAAATATCGGGCCGGTCGAGTGATGACCGAGCCTAGATGCATCGTGTATGCTCGTGGGCTGTCCAAAATCCTAGAAAAGTTCATCACCACAACTGCTCTCAAATGGAGAGGCTCCCTTGGTCGACCCATCGTTTAAAGTGTCACCATCCTGCGGAGGGTGACCTGCCCTTAGGTGTGAACAAAGCGACCCATGACTCGTCCCACCAACTCCAACCCAACCAGAGATGGACGATTTCATTAATTGGTGGGAGGGTCCAGAGCTTGTTGAATGATGCCATTAAATGATGCTTCACAGATACGTAGACAAGTAAACAAATATATAGAGGAAAGAGGGTAAAGTAATGATGCCTTTCGCTCATATTTTCCCACTGTTACTTTTGCTTAAAATGTTGAAAAATTTGTTTGTTTGGGTTGAGTTTTGTTTGGGGTTAGACTTCAATTCGGATTGATCCAAACTGTTGGGTCATGATTTTATTGGGTGGATTTAGATTTCATGATGTGTAAACCGTGGTGTATGGGTTGGGTGACTAAAGTGGTCAAAACCCAACCCACCCAACCCACTTGACCCATGTACACCCCTACCTGCCCCTGAGCTAGCAAACTCGGGACCACTGAATGGATCAACAACATGTGGAGTATCCTCCACTAGGGTCTAAACTGAGTCCCCTTGGTGTGCCCCGCTCAGAAGGAGTGCTCTTTGGTATGAAATCCACCCATCTTGAACTCCACATATGGGAGGGGGGGGGGATTCCTCTAGGTTGCTCGTGGACGAATGTGAAATTCCAAGCACAAATCCCAAAAAATAGGCTCATCAAGGTTGAGGAGTTGGTGCCACTGGGGAGGAACAATGGCTACTAAGATCGTAGCCTGACAATGGAAACGATCAAAAATATCGAGGTCGAGGCACCAATGGGGTCCGATATCCCCATTTTATCATGACTCATACCGGGGCCTGTAGTCCGGATGATCCACCAAATAATGCATGTACCCATACATAGGGTCAACCATCCTGCAAAAGTATCAAACAACAAGCACCATACGTGGAAACAATCATTAGAAAAAGCACATTGGGATAAAATTAGCTCCCCCACACTTAAGTTCCAATAAAGGTAAACATGCCCACATTCGCATTTCACAAGGGTGGATGACAAACAAAGTCGCTAGCGGCAAAGTCGAGTCCAAATATCCCCAAAACTTTGGTGACGGTGCGCCTTGGCTAGGGAAGAATGGGTATGTGCTTGGTTTTTGGATTGGGTGCCCGGAAGTAGATTAGATCGACGAAGAACCGTGTGGGAAAATGATTTCTGGTGAAAATTTCTAACTATTCCGACGAATTGAAATTTTGACGTTTGTGAGCTTCACGCCATTTTTATACTGCTCCAGGTCGAAGATCACGGCTTTTGTGCTGATTTCGTGGTCTCAGAACGTGATCCTAACATGCAAACCGTGATCTTAGCTGAAAATGGTGAGTTTTGGGCTGCCATCATGGTACATTTAATACCACGGGCTGTGCCCGTGAACATTGCATGCAAAACTTGATGTCTGCAACTTTGGTAGAATCTCTATCTACCTTAGGGTTTGGTTGTAATCTTCACAATTTGAGGTCGTGAACATTACCCCAAAATCGTGATGTGTGCAAAAAAGGGATTTCACCAATTTTCAAACTTCATCGATTCAACTGTGCCCCAAACTCAAACACAACACATTTATCGATAAAAAACACACCAACCATGGGCATAGTGACCAGTCCAACTCACATACTTGACTCTAACACACACACAAAAAGAGAAAAATAAGGAAAAAAAAAATAAAAACCTACGTTGGGTTGCCTCACATGGCCAGGAAGCTGACTAGATGATGATTGCATCCTTGTTTCTCTCCACACGACTACGACTTTCCTTTCTTCTTATGCATCCTGTTTCTTCAATTCTTTTGCTTACTTTCAGATCCTTCACATGAATTCAAACCAAAATCATCTAATTAGTGGAGATCAAGATCAATTTAACTTATCAAACCTCCAAAGCACAATTGCACATAACTCCAACCAAATATACACGTATTGACTGCATATTGAGCTCACATAAGGGAATAAAACCCCAGTATATAGAAATATACCAAACGATTCCCCCTATCGTCAGGAAGCATCAACCAAAATTATGTACCTGGTTGTGGAGAAGAAGTAAGAAAGCAAACCCAAAGCTTCCAATTCTAGGGATTCAAAAATTGGACCAGGAAATCTTTTATCTTTGTCTTATTCTTCTTTCCCAGCACGCCTCCTCCAAATGCAGTCGTTGCATGTTTGGAACCCTCCATCATATCATCCTTACCAGATTGATTCTTCTATGATACATTCTCAGAATTGTTCAATCGTCTTTTCGTATGATGAGGGCAAGAACAAAGAATTGTAGTTAGGAGTTTTGATCGAAGAAGAAGAAGAGGGGGTTGGTTTCAATCGGAGAATGAAACCAAGAAAGGAAGGAGAAGAAGTAAAGAAGTAGGAGGGTAAGGATCTGAATGAGAAAGGGACATGCAAGGTAGTTATTGCGGAGTTGTGGTAGTAGGTGACATATTGAGGCACAACTAGCCTAATTGGGGTCCAATTGCACATGTTTTCACCCCGTATTCTTGTGGTGTTTGGGGGCATTTACATCGCTTAAGGTTCGATTTTATGCTAGGTTATGTATGTTTCCAACATGTTTCAGGTTCTATCATGTGAGATTGGCCTTGGAAGCAATAGTTGAACGAAAAAGGACGAAAGCGGATCGAAAAGAGAAAAAAGGTGAAGATCACTGTTAGAGCAACTTTGTCACAATCAATCGACCGTGAAGAGCATCGACATCCAGAAAGTTTTGTACACCTCGCGAGCCTAAAAGTGGTCATGGTCGCGAGACCGTGATAATGCCATCTAGTCCGTGAAGGCCTTAAATGAAATGGTGCGCTTTTGCCCCAGATCACGGGCGAGGCTTCGAGATCACGCCCATGATAATCGACAATGATGAGCGCACGAATGGAGTACAAAAGGAGAAGGAAGCTGAAACTTTAAGGGAGGATCCTAGTGAGAGATTGCCATCATCTTCTCTTCTGATTTTAGAGAGAGAAACATACAAACAAAGAGAGAAGAAGGGGGTTAGGGTTTGATCCTAGTTAGAGGATTGAAGGTTTTCATCTCCCAATGGTGATTTTGGCAACAAGGAAGGAAGTCAAATACCACATCATGGTTCTTTCCCTCCTCTTTGTTGTAATCCCTAGTTTAGCTATGGACTAGTTCTTTTTTCACTTGAGTATTGTGAACCCTAGCCTAGAAATGTGATGGATTAATGGATTTGAACTCTATGTGTGTTGATTGTGTGTTTTAATATAATGCTTGAGGTATTTTCATAATTTGTGAGTGTTCAGTTCCATATCTCATTTGGGTCAAATTGACCTAGAAGGAGGAAACCTCCTCCTTGCCCACTTCTTGGAAAATTGGGTAACCACTTCTAGAGCAATTAGGGACACACCTCAAGCATTGATTTAGCGTCACGATTGGATTGTGTTTTATTGTCGGTGTTCCGGATTAACTTCCGAGGGATTGGTTAGCAATCCTTAGCTGCTTGATAGAGAGAGCTAGGTTTCCTAGCTTAATTGCTTTTCCTTAATCGATTGCCTAGGAGAGTGGGAATTTTCCACTATTTGCACCATCTTCGCGGTATAGGAACACACTATCCCGCACTAGAGTTTCAATTATTGCAACTTAATATAAGGCTAGGGGGAGCAATACTCGGGTGACATTTTCTCATATAGAATCCACCACCATTTAATTTCTTGCTTGCTTTAAATTGTTTCTTAGTTTTCACTCTAAACCGATAGCTAGATAACATTTTAAACGGTTGAAGTATATGAATACATGGACCGGCCCAGGTTGACATTTTAAAACACTTGTCTATACTACACTTACTAGAGTTTATACTTGGGCTCTAGTTGAGATTTTATTTTATTTGTGTAGTTAGGAATGAATCATAGTCGAGGACAAAAAGTCGAATTAATATTCGGGTCTATGATGGGGGCAGTATTGGGAACATTCTACGACATAAAAGTGATGATGAGTGAAGTTCTGTCTTTGCGAACAAATTAAATATGGAGGTGAGGGTTGGAGGAATACAAATGAGCTTTTCTTTGAAATTAATATCACTATTGTCATTCTGAATAGAAAAGTGGTCCATGTTGAGCCTCCAACCTATCTAATATTCAAAGCTATAGCATAGAACGACTCAGCACACTCCTAATATATTAGAGGGAAGGGGTAAATACTAATTGGTAGCCAAACATTTCCCGCATTTTTTAATATTAGCCAAACCTTTTAAAATACACAATATTATCCAAATGTTAACTTCCAATTAGCATATTTGTTAGTAATATTAACTTGACAACATGACACTGACTTGGAAGAGACACATGGAGAACAACATTTCAAAACTTTAGTATTTTAACTAAGAAAAGAGTTATTAAATTATTAACAATAACCAAAAAATGACTAATATTTTAGTGCGCAACAAAAGATTTGACTAATATTTTATATCTTGAAAAATTTAACTAATATTTAAAAATGCGGGATAGGTTTGGCTAATAATAATTAAATATATATAGAACCCGAGGATTTAAGACGAGAACTAGGTTACCCGCTGCATTAAGCCATTAACAGTAGGGATGGCAATGGGTCGGGTTGGGTCGGGTTTTGCCAAACCCAAACCCATGGGTTTATTCGTGAAAAAAACCAGGGATAAACCCACTGGGTTTGAAAAACTCAAACCCAACCCAATCCGCTGGGTATCCTCGGGTTCATGGGTACCCACGAGTTTGTGTCGTAAAAAATTTACAATAACAAGTTCCTATCAAAATTAAAGTCAAATATCAATCTTTCAATACAAATTATCCATATATAAAACATCATTCTAGAAAATTCAAGCAAATCACAAATTAACTATACAAATTGTTCAATACCAATCTAGAAAACTCAAGAAAATTGAAGCAAATCACAAATTATCCATAAATAACATGATTAATTGAAAGCTTCTTCCTTTCAATTAAGTTTTTTCACTCTCCACTCGATAACATCAACTTCATTCTACACAATCAGAAAGAAAAAATTAGACATGTCTCCACAAACATAAATAAGATTAGTAGTTTAGAATATTAAATATACCAAGAAAATAAATTATATGAGTGTGGGCAGGTACCCATGGGTCGGGTTTACCAAAACCCAAACCCAACCCAATTCGATGAATAGTAAACGGGTTTAAACCCAAACCCGACACAAAACCCGTCAACACGAATTTTACCCGCGTTGACCAGATTGGGTCGGGTGGATCCCATGAGTTCGGGTTTTGTTGTCATCCCTAATTAACCGCATTTGGAAGCCTATAAAGCGAAAAGTTAAAGCCCATCTTACAATGGAAGTTCCATTTGGGCCTAGCGTAAATGAACAGAACTATACGGGTTTATATCCATCCTATGCTGGCCGCTTTTAACGAAACGGATTATGGACCCTAGCCTAGACGAGAGAAAGGGATCCAGAAAAACTCCCCACTATAAATTCCTACGCTTCCTCTCAAACCTTCGCCCCAAACCCTAATAGCATTTCGGCAGCCGTTCCCCCAAACCAAAAGAAATGGCAGCCGCCGCTCGTCCCCTTGTCTCCGTCCAAACCCTTCCCACAATGAACGATATGGCCACCGATTCCCCGGCCACCGTTCCCCTGCCCGACGTTATGAGGGCCTCTATCAGACCCGACGTCGTCAACTTTGTTCACTCCAACATGTCGAAGAACAGCCGCCAACCCTACGCCGTGTCCAAGAAGGCCGGCCACCAGACCTCCGCCGAGTCCTGGGGTACCGGTCGCGCCGTCTCCCGTATTCCCCGTGTTCCCGGTGGAGGAACTCACCGTGCCGGTCAGGGTGCCTTCGGGAACATGTGCCGAGGAGGTCGCATGTTCGCTCCGACCAAGATCTGGCGCCGCTGGCACCGGAGGATCAACGTCAACCAGAAGAGGTACGCCGTCGTTTCTGCAATCGCCGCCTCGGCCATTCCTTCGCTGGTGATGGCTCGCGGCCACCGGATCGACACCGTTCCAGAGTTGCCTCTGGTGATCAACGACTCCGCAGAGGGTGTCGAGAAGACATCCACCGCTATCAAGCTGCTCAAGGAGATCGGAGCTTATGCTGATGCCGAGAAGGCCAAGGACAGCGTCGGGATTCGTCCCGGGAAAGGGAAGATGAGGAACAGGAGGTATATTTCTCGCAAGGGACCTTTGGTTGTGTACGGAACTGAAGGCGCTAAGCTGGTGAAGGCCTTCCGCAACATTCCTGGGGTGGAGGTGGCCAATGTCGACCGTTTGAATCTTCTTAAGCTAGCCCCTGGTGGCCACTTGGGTCGATTTGTGATCTGGACCAGGTCGGCTTTTGAGAAACTTGACTCCATCTACGGCTCCTTTGACAAGGCTGCTGAGAAGAAGAACGGGTATGTGCTCCCTAGGGCTAAGATGTCGAATGCTGATTTGGCTAGGATTATCAACTCTGACGAGGTTCAGTCTGTGGTGAAGCCCATCAAGAAGGAAGTGAAGAGAGCTCCATTGAAGAAGAATCCTCTGAAGAACTTGAATGTGATGCTTAAGTTGAACCCGTATGCCAAGACCGCTAGGAGGATGTCCTTGTTGGCTGAGACTCAGCGTGTGAAGGCCAAGAAGGAGAAGCTCGACAAGAAGAGAACTCCCATCAGCAAGGTATATGATAACTTTCTCTTACTCTATTACATAATTGTATGCCCTAAGGGCTTGATTGCATGCAATGGCTTTTTTTCTACATTGGTGACTTAATCAAATAGGATGAAGGTGGTGGTTGTAGAGCTTTTAATGGCTCATTGCTCTATCGGGTTGGTGTGGTGTTAACAGTTACCTATTGAATGTTAATCGGAACATGGTAATTAGACTAGCAGATTATAGTCTAATATATTTCCATGTACCTGTAATTACTTTGTTTAGCCTGTTGCCTTCGGTATTGGATATGTTTGTGCCAGGTGTTTTAGTTGAACCTGGAATAGTGTCTTAGTAAGGTTGGAATTGATGAATTTCTTGAACCCAGTATAATGCTATTGTCCAATCATCTTCGTTATTGGTTGGATTGCTGGTGATGCCAAAGCTAGTTCTTTGCATTTAATCTCTATGGATTGGTCCCCCAAGGTTCAGCAACCTCTTGAAGTGGTTTCGGTTTTGATATTTCTGTATAAACTTCCTGATTATTAGGTAAATGAGTCACTGGAACTTACGGTATCTTACAGTACTGCATGATCTTCTCGAAAGTGCACTTGTTGCAATAACTATGTTTGGTGTGCGTTCATTTCGATATTGTTAAAGTTTCCGTGTCTCTGAACAGTGGTTTGCTGATCCGTTGTTTGTTTTGTAAACTTGCGGGGGTTGACTTTTCTGCAGGAGGAGGCATCTGCCATCAAGGCTGCTGGGAAAGCATGGTACCAAACTATGGTGTCGGAGAGCGATTACACCGAGTTCGAGATATTCTCCAAATGGCTTGGTGTATCCCAGTAAAATTGGGGTGTTTTGTTTGAGCTATGCTTTATCAGTTATCTAGCAGTTTTGTTTGTTGGATGTTAGGAATTTTGATTTTGTTGGACGGGAACGACGAGGTGGTTCCTTTTTTCGGGGGATTGTCACCATCATATACATTGTTATCCTTGGTTGTTTTATCATCGTTATGTTGAGATATTGCTGGTTTACGGTGCTTTGGTTACCAGTGCGCACATCATTTTGCTAGTCCTTGTCTGTGGTTCAACCTTTTGCTTTTCTTGAAACTAGATATTTAGGTTGAAGGATTCTTGATCGCTCTGATATATTAGTCATTTGTTCCGTAGGATTCGACAATCCCACTGTCCCAGTTAGCTCATCGAGCGGGAAACTGATGCGGGAAATAAGACCAATAAGTGATAAACTATCCGGGGAAACAATACCGAAACGATAGTCGTACTTCAGATCATACTCCAATTGTCGTTGGATGTGCTTTATTTTTAAAACAAGAGTTGAGCTACATAGCTTTGCCTTGCATTGCCTTGCACATGTTCGGCTTAGATAATACTCGAATTGTTGTTGGATGTGCTTTATTTTTAAAACAAGAGTTGAGCTACCTAGCTTTGCCTTGTACATGTTCGGTTTGTATATAAACGAGTCGAGTTAAATACGAGCCAACTCATTTATTAAATTTTGACACACTATTAAGATCGAAAGTTCTGTTCGAGCTCAACTCTAAATAATTTATTATAAATACCCTAATACTTATATGTTATATGTGATTACCTAGGGTAAAATACCTCGTGTACCAATTAAGTTTGAGAATTGGGACATACATACCACTTAAGTAAGAATAGGGTGTCGGTTACCATTAAAGTCGTCAAAAGGTGCATTCGTCTAGTTTTCCATCCAAACTAAAATTTTAATTACTTTTTGGTTTAAAACATCCAAAACTATATTTCTAACAAGTATTATCTAATATAAAAATTAGAAAACCTTCTGAACATAGTATTACTAGAATGACTAACGAAAATTTTTCTATATAATAGATAAATTAGAAAAACTAATAGACGAATATCAAGAAGGAATAATAAATATACTAGACGATAATAATAAATATATAAAATTAATATTATAATATATATTTAAATCCCTAATATAATTAGAAGCACCACTAAAAATAGTTAAAATAGAACCTAATCGATCATCAATACATCAAGACCAAAGAAGATATATGTAAACTATAAAAGCTACAACATTCAGAAATAAATCTAAAAAAGAAAATATAACTATAGGGAGATAATTACAATTAGTAAATTTAACTAATATGAAACATCTACATAATATTAGAGAATTAGTAAATTTAACTAATATGAAACATCTACATAATATTAGAGAATTACAATGAGATTTAATATGGAAAATTAGACAAGATCAACAAAATTTAAAAGAACTAAATATAATATCCTCAGAACCGGAACTCTCTTCCTCCTTCAAGGAAACACCATCAACCTCCACCTCCAGGTCACCAAAAGCTGAAAAGTCAGTCCAAGAAATTACCTAAGACCACCAACAACTACAATACGAGAGGGAAAAAAGGTGGGGGAAGAGTTTGGCCAGAATGGGGATGGGAAAAGAGAGTATTTGCTGTGTTGTTTTTGATAAAATCAAACTAGAGTTGATCATTATGTTTACATGGGTAGTAATAATTAATTAAAACGTATATTTTGATGTAATTTTTTTTATATTTGGACATAATTTTTTACACTAATAATTAAATATGACGTCATCAATGAAGAAATCATAATAATTTGCAGAAGACCATGACTCATCACATGTTTCACAAAATGAGTAGTGCCATCAGTTTTTTTGATAGCTTTAATCATATTGAGTGGTGCCATCAACTGTTCATCCTGCTTTAATCATATTGAGTGGTGTCATCAACTGTTCATCCTGTTGTAATAATATTATTGTTGGAGAATCTTTTCGTGTTTCTATAAATGAAAGCCAAATTTTGTCAATCTATTCATCCCAACATTCAACCTTCTTCATTCTCTCTACTTCGTATTTCTATCTACACACCTAAACCTCTTTTTGCATCATGAGTTCCCCTAGTAGAGAAGCTTATGAGAGGCATGATTCGGGTCCAATTGTACACATTTTGTCCCCGTTTTTCTTAGACGTTTGATGCATTTCTATTGTGTGAGGTGTGGTTTTATGCTAGGTTGACTTTGTGTTAATGTTTCAGATCCTAGCAGGTGAGACTGACCCCCGAATCGAAAGTGGAACGAAAAGGAGCAAAAACGAGTCGAAGTGTTGAAGAAGTTGAGATCACGACGGAAGCTAAGTTTTCACGGTCTTATGGACCGTGAAAAGGGCGCCCAACTGTGAAGCGCAGAAGTTTCAGAACGAATTGCGCATCTCACTGGAGTCCAACCAGTTCACGGTCGCTAAGACCGTGAACCAAAGCCCCGGACCGTGAAGCGCCAAGATTCCAGAAGCGATTTGAGTATCTCACTGGATCCCTGTAAGTTCACGGTCACTAAGACAGTGAACTAAGTCTCAGATCGTGAATAGACTAAGTGAAATGGTGCGGATTTGCTCAACATCACGGTCTAGGATGGATGTTCATGGTCGTGAACTATAATCGTGAACTGACTTCGACCTGAGTATAAAAGGTGGGCTGAGCATAAGGGAAAGGGGGAGAGACCTAGTGTGAGAAACTTCTTCTTCTCGAGCTTTCTAGATAGAGAAACTAATGAACCAAAGAAGAGAAGAGGTTAGGGTTTTATCTCCAAGTAAGGCTTTGGGAATTTCTTCCTCAAAGGAGGATCTCTACACCACAAGGAGCAAGGCTAGCATCTCCAAGATGGTTTTCCTTCTTCTTCCTTATGTTTCCTCCTTACCTAACATGGAGTAGTTTCTATTTTCACTTGGGTGTGTCATGTGTGTAAACCCTAGCTACAATCATGTGAATGTTTGTATGGATTGAATGATTAGTGTGTGGGTGTGTTTTAATACAAAGTTATGAGGTATTTTCATGAAGATTGATTTTGTTTGTGCATTTCAATGTCATATGCTATTTTAACCTAGGTAGAGGGGAATCTCTTTTGAGTAGAGGCTTGTAAAAGCTGGATTTCCGTGGGAAATTTTTGTCTCCTACTTAGGTTAAATTAGGGCAAACCTCTTAATTCGTATTAGCACCTAGGGTTGGTTGTAATTTGGTCGTCCGAACTCCGATTCGAGGGTGAAGTCTAGGCAACCCTTGGTTGATAGGCCAAAATAGCTACTTTGGTAGTTTGAATCGGAATCACTTGGCCTATTGACGGAGCGAGTTGCGTTTCTTCACTAGTTGCACTTCCCAACAGTTTACAACTGCCTTTCCCACACTTTTGCATTTGATTTGACAAGTCATTATTGTTAGTTAGGGGGAGCAACACCCGGGTGAAGCCTTCTCAATTAGTGTCCAATCCATTTACTTTTCCAAACGTTTTAGTTATAGCTCGTTGTTTTCACCAAAAACCAATTGCTAGATAATGTTTCAAACAATCGAAGTAGGGGTATATGGTCCGACCTGGGTTGACATTTAAACATACTTGCCCTATATTGCACCCGGTTAAGGTTTATACTTGGGATTTTTATTGAGGTATTCGGGATTGAGTCTCCGAGGGCCATGGGCTACTACATGGCTCCACGGGGGGCGGATATTCAACCTACCATTTTACGTCTGCCCGTGGTCGCCAACAATTTCGAGATCAAGCCCGACCTCGTCACAATGATCCAAAACAATGTGCAATTCCATGAGCTTAGAGATGAGTCTCCGAGGGAGCATATTCAGAGGTTTATCGAGATTGCGAAAACTTTGAAGATAAATGGCGTGCCCGAAGAAGCTTTGAAGTTGATGATATTACCCTACACTCTTGCGGGGAATGTGCTCATGTGGCTCAACAATAGACCACCCTCTCGATTACCTCATGGGACGACTTGCTCAACATGTTCATGACCCGATACTGCCCACCTTCCAAGACGGCGAAGTGGCGCAAGAAGATCACTCATTTTGAACAAGGGGATGATGAGATATTGAATGATGTCTGAGAGAGGTATTCTGACTTTTTCCTCCAATGGATTTGAATAACAGTTTGAGATTGATACCTTCTATGGTGGTCTCCCCCAAGTTGAAAAGATCCTCATTGACTCTCTATGTCAAGGGAAATTTATGAACATGACTCCACCCCAGCTGAGCCAAATGCTTGAAGCTATGGCGACAAAAGGGTACAATTGGGGCTTGACAAGAAGAGGTAGAAGGGATGCCGAGAGAGGAGTACGTTTGGTGGAATCAAGTCCTCCGTTTACTACTAAGATTGACTGTTCAATTGATGCTCTCCTTGAAGATAAGAAGCAAGGGAAGAAGACGTTGATGGCATGCGATTGGTGCTCGAGTACAAGCCATGAAGTTTCGGAGTGTCAATTGGTGAAAGAATCGAATGCCCCTGTTGAGCAACTATACTCTATCTCCTCCGTAGGCTCTGACAGAATGTCTACTTGAGCACCTTTGCTAGCTCCAGCTTGAGGAAGTTTGAGAGAATAGAGAGGTTTATGGGCAAAGCAACGGAGAAATTCTCAACCATATAGGCGGGGTTGAAAAGTCATCAATCAACCTTGACAACCGTGACCGCAAGGATGGGGATTATAATGCAAGCAACTCTTCATCGAAATCAACGTGACGAATCGGAGCTAGGAGCGTGACCCTCCGAAGCGGGAGAGAAACTCAAGAAGTACCCATCTGGAAGAAGCCTATCAAGGCACCAGAGAAAGCCGAACCTACTATTTCCCTCGAACAACAAGGGAGCATGGGTACATCTCGACGAGAAAAGGTGGAGTCGACTCCTCAACCGGAACAATAAAAATGAAAAGCCAACTCACCGCTTCCCTACCCCAGTAGGCTCCACAAGGATCGAATGGCGGCAGAGTTTTCTCACTTTATGGAGCTAATGAACCAATTGTACGTCAACATCCCCTTCTTCGAACCCCTCACCCAGATTCCCAAATACGCCAAGTATTTGAAAGACCTCCTCAAAAATAAAAAGATGCTAGAAGGGATGGCTACTATGACAATGAATGAAGAACTATCAGGCATCTTGCATAATCATCTTCCCATCAAGCGCTAAGATCCAGGAAGCTTCACTATCCCTTGCTTTATTGGCAACATTTGCATTGGGAAGTCGTTGGCGGACCTAGGGGCCAGTATTAATGTGATGCCGTATAGGTTATTCAAGAAGCTAGACCTAGGTGAAGCTAGAGCCACTAGGATGAACATCCTTTTGGCGGACAGATCCATAGTCCATCCTAAGGGTATCATAGAGGATCTACTGGTTAAGGTTGGAACCTTGATATATCCGGTTAATTTTGTTATTCTTGATATAAATGATAATGTGGATGTTCCCCTTATTTTGGGTAGGCCTTTCTTGGCTACCGCTAAGACTTTAATTGATGTGCATGAGGGGAAGATTGGTGCTTAGGGCAGGAGATGAGGAGGTTACCTTCTCCATATATGATAGCATGAAGTTTTCTTACCTACATGATGATGTCGATTGTTGTGATGAGGTGTCCGATTTTATTTTGGCACTAGCATTTGCGGGTGCCAACGCTACTAACCCCATAAGGAGTGTTTTTTGGTAGGGGCTGACAACTTGGAATCTCAAAGTGAGGGAGAGAAACCGTTCTTTGAGGAGGCCTGCTTAGCAACCCCGAAACTGGAGGTGGAAACCTTGCCTCCCATACCTAAGATCCCCACCTCATTGGAAGAGTCAACCGAGTTGGAGCTGTTACCTAGCCATCTTGAATACGATCTCTTGAGGGATGATGTCAAGCTCTCGATAATCATAAATTCACATCTAACATCAGAGAAAAAGACCAAATTGATTGAGGTCATGCGTCCCAGTGAGAAGGCCATTACTTGAAAGATCATGAACATCCGGGGAATCAGCCCTTCATTCTGTTCACATAAGATCCTAATGGAAGAGGATGCCAAGCCATTCCGGCAACCTCAACGAAGAGTGAATCCTAACCTGGAGAAGTGGTGAAGGCTGAAGTATTAAGCTCTTGGATACCAGGATAATTTACTCCATCTCTGACAGTAGGGGTGGCAATTCGGTTATTTCGGTTATAACCGGTAACCGATTGACCGGTTATCGGTTAACCGAAATAAACACCCCCCTTACCGAAAACCGACCGAAATAGTCTTCGGTTTCTCGGTTAACCGAACCACGTTTAAGACCAAAAAACATTTTAGCCAGCTTCCGATAACCGACCGAAGTTCGGTTACTTCGGTTATCGGTTAGTGGATAACCGGCCGGTTATCGATTTAACCATCCGGTTAACCGGTAACCGGTAACCGAACTGCCACCCCTATCTGACAGTTAGTGGGTGAGCCCTACTCAATTGGTGCCTAAGCAAGGAGGAATTATGGTGGTGGTCAATGAGAAGGACAAGCTCATCCCCACAAGAACGGTGACTGGATGGCATGTGTGCATCGACTACTGTCAACTAAATGATCCTACCCGGAAAGACCACTTATCTTTTCCCTTCATCGACCAAATTCTGGAGAGGCTTGCGGGTCATGACTACTACTGTTTTCTGGATGGAATGTCTGGATACTTTCAAATATCTATAGCCCCTGAAGTCAAGCCAAGACGACATTCACTTGCCCTTTCGGAACATTTGCATATAGACACATTCCTTTTGGATTGTGCAATGCCCCGACCACATTCCAAAGGTGCATGATCACTATTTTCGACAAGCTTGTGGGGGAGATCATGGAAGTGTTCATTGACAATTTTTCGGTATTAAGGGATTCATTCGCTCACTGCTTGGCAAGTTTGGAGAAGGTCCTGGCACGTTGTGAAGAAACCAATCTAGCTTTGAGTTGGGAGAAGTCGCATTTCATGGTGCGGGAAGGCATTGTGCTGGGGCATAAGATATCCAAGAAAGGCATTGAGGTTGACAAAGCTAAAGTTGAGACCATAAGCAAGCTTCCACCATCGACGCCGATAAGGGAATCCAGAACTTCCTTGGACATGTGGGGTTATCCCGCCAGTTTATAGAAAATCTCTCAAAGATTGCGCTACTGACACGCTACGACACAACACTAAACTATGACCAAGTGTAATCGCAGTCCGGAAATGCAGAATAGTGGTAAGTTTAATTTATCAACCCGGGGACTAGATGTACTGCCTACTCCGTGATTATCTATTATCTAGTGGGATTAAGTGAATGTAGGTGAGTTCAAAGTAAAGCAGAAAGAAAGCAGTAAATTGTCCGGTTTCCTAAAGCAAGAGAAGAGTCACTCAGGAATGAGTCCCCCTAGCTCCTTAGTTAGGTCCAAGTTGTAATTTCCTTAGGTTGATTTACTGTTGATTAAACTACGGAAGATCCAACAGTAGTTTGGAATCTCTTAAGCTGACCAAGCCCTCTTAAACCGACTAACCGACAAACAACTAGTCTTCACCGGGATAGAAATCTAAGGCAATTAACACAGAACTCCACTACTGGAATTGGATTCCAATACAAAGCAGTGAATTGATTAACCCTCGTATAATCAATTCACTCCTATCAATTGAAGAAGCTCTAACAACCTAATCAGATTCTATCTATCACAGGTTGAGCATAAATCAAGAGAAGTTGACCAGGATTCAATTGACTTAATAAACACACTTCAATCGATTATAATCAAACAGTATATCAATCCAAAAGTCTTTACAATCAAGATCCCTAACACATGGAATTAGGGTTCTTCATACCCATGTGAGAGAAGGGTCTACTCCATAGAGAGAGAGATAAGAAAACATAATTCAAAGCAGTCATACTCATAAAGATGTGAATAATCTGCTCTAGGATGTCAATCTTCACTCCTGGGTGCAATCTGGGCTTCAATGGTGAGAAATCCACTCCAAATAACTCATAGGGTTTGTTCTTCGCACTTTCTCTCTCTAGAACTCTGTTTTTTGCTCCAAAAAGTCGAATCCCTCTCCAAAACCCGAAATTGGGTTAAAATGTAGATGCCTGCAATTGCACTGCCAGACCGCACGACCGTGCAACCTCCATGGCTGCCCATGCACCCCAAAATGCACCGTTTGAGTCAGTTCCGCCAGGGGAGTGCACGGCCATTGCACGACCCGTGCAATCCGAGAGCCTGGCCGTGAAGCTTCTCGCATAATTCACCACGGCTAGAAAATAAGTTGCGCATGGTCGTGCGAAAACAGGGTCAGGCCATGCGAAGTCTCGATAAATCCTACACGGCCAAAAAGGCCACCATGCACGACCGTGCGCTTTCCCGTACTGGCCGTGCAACTCGTCTGCTCTCCCTCGCTCATCCCGATTTCGCCCAATCGACCCCAATGTCGTGCTCAAACCTTCATTCACGCATTAGGACCTGAAATGTCATAAACAAGAACAACCTAGCGTAAAATCGGCTTAAAACCCGATATAAAAATGGTGGACAAAAACATGTGCAAATATCGAGTCATCAGCTACCACTGAAGCTTCTGGAGAAGGATGCACCTTTTATTTTCACAAAGGAATGCTTTGAAGCGTTCAATATCCTCAAGGCAAAGCTTACAAATGCCCCAATAATGGTCTCTCCGGATTCCAACCTCCCCTTTGAACTCATGTGTGATGCTAGTGATTTTGCAGTGGGGATGGTGTTAGGTCAAAGGCGAGGACGACATTTTCAACCCATATGTTATGCCTCAAAGATATTGAATGGGGCTCAAGAGAATTACACAACTACTGAAAAAGAGTTGTTGGCAGTCATCTTTTCTTTCGAGAAGTTTCGGTCCTATCTTGTGCTTTCAAAAGTAATTGTCTACACAGACCACTCTGCCATCCGATTCTTGACGAGCAAGACCGATACCAAGCCCCGATTGATAAGAGTGATCTTGCTCATTCAAGAGTTCGATGTGGAGATCAAAGACAAGAAGGGAGTCGAGAACCTTGTGGTGGACCATCTCCCTCGACTCGAAGGTCCTGGGGGAACCACTTCGCAGGACGAAATAAATGATACACTTTCCCCGATGAAAGGTTGTTCGTCATTGGTGTAGTGGAAAGTGCAACCCCTTGGTTTGCCTGCTTTGCCAATTACTTGGTCGGAGAGCAACTGCCAAAGGGGACGAATACTAACGAGAAAAGGGAATTCTTTGCCGACTTTTGCTACTACTTTTGGGAGGATCCTCACTTGTTCAGAATCAGAGTCGAAGGGATCATCTGGAGGTGTGTTCTGGAGGACGAAATGAAAGCTATCCTTAGCCAGCGCCAAGATGGGGTGACATGAGGGCATCACGGGGGCAACCGCACGGCGAGGAAGGTCCTCCAATCAGGGTTCTACTGGCCTTTATTTTTTCGGGATGCCGATTCATTTGCGTGGCAATGAGACAACTGCCAAAGGACATGTAACATTTCTAACCGCAATGAGATGGCCTAAACAATTTACATTACATGTGAGATTTTTGACGTTTGGGGCATTGATTTCATGGGTCCTTTCCCATCATCTTTTGGAAAACAAGTACATTCTAGTGGCCTGGACTATGTCTCGAGGTGGATTGAGGCTCAAGTCCTCCCCACCAATGATGCAAGACGAGTTTGAAGATTTCAAGAAATTGTTTTCACGTTTTGGGACCCCTAGGGTCATCATTAGTGGTCGAGGAACCCCCTTCCATGGACAATTTGATAAACTCCTCGATTGCTATGGTGTCACCCACCGAGTCTTTCATGGCCTACCACCCTCAAACAAGTGTTTAGGTGGAGTTGACAAATTGGGAGTTGAAAAGGATTCTAGAAAATACTGTGGACCGATCCCGTAAAGATTGGTCCACAAAGCTCGATAATGCTTTATGGGCAAACTGCATGGCCTACAAAACACCAATAGGTGTCTCGCCTTACCAATTGGTGTACGAAAAAGTGTGCCACTTGCCTGTATAGCTAAGCATAGGGCTTTATGGGCTACCATACTATTAAACATGGACCCAACTTGGTATGGAAATGAAAGGAAGTTGCAGGTGTTGGAACTCAAGGAATGACGTCTTCACGCCTACGAGAACACTAAAATTTACAAGGAAAAGACGAAACGCATGCATGATGCTTGGCTCAAAGGTGCCAAAGACTTCCATCCAGGGGGAGAAGGTGATCTTGTGCAACTCTAGGTAGGGCTGGGCATGCGGGCGGGTCACCCGCGGGTTTAGGCCGATCCGCCCGCATTTGACCTGAATTTGGTTATGTGGATGGATGTGTGGGTGGGTGACGGGTTGTGCTGGGAGGAATCCGTCGGGTGACGGGTGGGTTGTGGGTGACCCGCACAACCCAACAACAAAAAGAACAAAGTGGTTGGCGCTGGAGAGTGGAGACACTGACGGATATTAGGGCTACTCCTAGAGATTGAATATCAAAGCCAATCTTACAAATATCAACTTCCCTATTCTTTCTTTATTCTTTCCTCTGATTCTTGTGCCTAAATCACCTCTATTTCCTCCGTAGAATTATTTTTCTTAGTTTCCTTGCACCCGATAATCATCTCCATCTGTAGAAAACTCCTCCATAATAGAATTTCTATCCAATTACATAACTAATTCAACGTTTTCTCTTTCTATTCTATCTTCTTGTTTCCGTATGATAACTCTCCACCAATTATCTCTGCAACTTGAAGTGAATCTCAAGTTTGGAGAGTGAATGGATGTTGAATGGAAGTTGAAATGTATTTTTATTTTACATATCGATATTCCACAAGGGTTTCTAAATATAAATGGATCATGTCAATTTGACTTCTTTATATTATGTGCATTGTAATGTGGGTGAACCCGCAAACCCACCCGCATTAGTCGCCATCCACCCGACCCAACCTGAGACTAAATGTGGGTGGTTGGTGGGTTAAAAATTGTCAATCCATTTAAGCGCAGGTGGGTGCATTTTATGTTCAAAATTCACCCAATCCACCCAATGTCCACCCCTAACTCTAGGCTACGCCTATTCCCTAGAAAGATGAGATCAAAATGGTCGGGCCCGTATGAGATCAATCGAGAGCAAGGGATATTCAAAGTGAACGGACACCGCCTAAAATGCTACCTCGGAGGTGTGGTGATGCCGCAAAAGGAAGTGGTGCTTCTATAAGATGTTTAGTCCGAAGGCCCCGTCTAGGTTGAGACGTTAAACTAGTGCTTGTTGGAAGGCAACCCAACGGAGGTTTGTGCTTTTTATCGGGATGTGGAATATTGTTATGTGTAATAACCTCGCCTCGAGCTAGAATGTGCTTGTGTTTTGTGTGTTTACTCCTACTCTTTGGAAGCTCAAATCTCCTATCATGGAAACTGTCTCACTTTCACTCTCCAAGCTTTGCGATAACGTCGCTCTCCCCCTATTTTACGCCATTGAGGGCAATGTCGAGCTTAAGTGTGGATTATAGTTTATTATTGTGATTGTGTTTGTGATTGATTGCTTGGAGCCTTGATTTATGCCCAAATTTTCAAATTTGAGTGCTCAAAGCGTTGCATGATCAAAGTGGCCATTTTGTGGGTGAATCTTGTGTTATTGGCATTGACCGTGATTCGATTGCATGTGATTGAGTGTGTCCTATGATGATGACTAGGAATTGCATTAGGTGTGTGCAAAATCCTAGTTCTCATGTGTGCTTAAATTAATGGATGCCTTGACTTGGTTACTCTTTGATCACAATTGTCTTGCATAGAACTTTGTGAAATTGGAGTAGACGATTGGGTGATTAGGTAGCCATGTGAGTTTTTTGCCGATCGTCTTCTTCTTGTGTTCTTAGATCCCTCTTACCATGGCAAGCAACATTCACCGTTCTCACTAGTGAGTATGATGGAGGCATAGGATTAGTCCACGCCCAAAAGTTTATTTTCCCGAAACATCTTATCCCCTAGTCAACCCCTTTGAGCCGTTTGACTTTGGGGGTCGTTTTAATACTAGGAGCTTTGTGCTTGTTGAGATTAATGGTGATTGATAGAATGACCCCATCTCCTTTCTTCGTGTCCAAACGTGAGTCGTCCTTGTGTCTCGGATCTCTTGCTCTTGAGCGCCATTGAGGTTCTACATAGGAGGATTTTGCACGGTTCTTCCTAGGAATGAAGAAGTAGTGTTGGAGGAAGTTCTAAATAGAGAGTATTGTTCATTAAATGTTAAGTTGGCAAGTGTTTAACTCTCTAGTACCCCCCCCTCCCCCTCGAAAAAAATAGAGAAAGAAAAGAAAAAGGAATGGAAAGTAGAAAAAAAAGAAATGAAAAAGAGGTAATAAAACAGGGTAAATAAAAGTAGAGAGTTGCCACAAAAGTTTAAGTGTATGCTCTAGAAAGGGTTTCTTGGCACTCAAGCCATTGAAACACCTAAGTGTTTGTTAACCTCCTTCACTACTATGATTGAGATGTGGATAGCAAGAATAGACCAAGGAAATGTGCTTGAATGTGGTTCGTGGTTTGTAATGGTTTGGGAGAAGGGATAGTGGTGTTTGGTCATTGCTAGTGGTTGTTGATTGTAGGCAAGGTTCTGGTGAAACCATGGAACCTTTGGTTTTAGGTTGAAGATTTAGGACCTCATGCTATGTTTTCCACCACCCAAAAGGTCTTTTCGCCATGTACAAGACAATTGCCAGTCATTTGAACCCATGTCTAAGACCTACGGACAAGCTAGTGATGAAAAACGTTCTGTGAACTCTAGCGTTTAGAGGTTGCCGTCGTGGTGAAGAGACGATAGGGCTGAGTGTTGATGGTTGAGCACATCTTTTGCACCAAATGGTTCTGACCTCACTGGCCGAGAGTAAGTGATTTACTCATGTTTTGTATTATCATATCTTACCCCGGTGAGGACCTATGTTGCCCATTCGTTAGTGCCTTGGACTTGAACTCTATGCACGGTTAGTTGTGGTTGGTGAGTATTCTTGTCGAGACTTGTGTTGGTTTGTGAACAGGGTGATAACTTTTCATTTGCATGTTCTTGATGCATTTGAATGGCTTGTTAGATTGATATATCACCTTGTTTGGAAATGGTTTGCTTTGGGACAAACAAACGTTTAAGTATGGGGGAATGACTCGGGTCCAATTGTACAAATTTTATAAGGGATGGCAACAAAATCCGAACCCACGGGTACCCACCCGACCCAACCCGGTCAATGTGGGTAAAATCCGTGTTGACGGGTTTTGGGTCGGGTTTGGGGTTAAACCCGTTTACTATTCACCGAGTTGGGTTGGGTTTGGGTTTAGCTAAACCCGACCCATGGGTACCCGCCCCACACCCATATAATTAATTTTCTCGGTATATTTAATATTCTAAACAACTAATCTTATTTATGTTTGTGGAGACATGTCTAATTTTTTCTTTTTAATCGTATAGAATGAAGTTGATGTTATCGAGTGAAGAGTGAAGAAACTTAATTGAAGGGAAGAAGCTTTCAGTTAATCATGTTATTTATGGATAATTTGTGATTTGCTTCAATTTTCTTGAGTTTTCTAGATTGGTGTTGAACAATTTGTATAGTTAATTTGTGATTTGCTTGAATTTTCTAGAAAGGTGTTTTAAATATGGATAATTTGTATTGAGAAATTGATATTTGACTTTAATTTTGATATGAACTTGTTATTGTAAATTTTTTACGACAAAAACCCGTGGGTACCCATGAACCCGCGGATACCCAGCGGGTTGGGTTGGGTTTGAGTTTTTCAAACCCAGTGAATTTTACCCCAGGTTTTTTTTACAGATAAACTCATGGGTTTGGGTTTGTCAAAACCAGACCCAACGCGACCCATTGCCATCCCTACATTTTATCCCTGTTTTCCTTGGACGTTTGATGCATTTGTACTCTATGAGGTGTGGTTTTACGCTAGGTTGCACTTTGTTTTAGTATGTTTCAGATCCTAGCAAGTGAAACTGAACCCGGAATCGAAAGTGGGTTGAAAAGGAGTGAAAACGAGTCAAAGGGTGGAAGCAACTGAGCATCACGGCGAAGACCGTAAACCAAACTAGTTCACAGTAGCTAAGACCGTAAACTAAAGCCCCCGACCGTGAAGCGCCAAGAGTCCAGAAGTGGGTTGAGCATCTCACTGGATCCCAGTTAGTTCATGGTCGCTAAGACCGTGAACTCAAGCCCCAGACCGTGAACAGACTAAGTGAAATGGTGCGGATTTGATCAACATCACGGTCTAGGAAGGATGTTCACGGACGTGAACTGGGACCATGAACTGACTTCAACCTGAATATAAAAGGAGGCCTGAGCTGAAGGAAAAGGGGAGAGACCTAGTGTGAGAAACTAACGAACTAAAGAAGAGATTAGGGTTTTATCTCCAAGCAAGATTTTGGGAATTTCTTCCCCAAAGGAGGAACTCTACACCACAAGGAGAAGTTTCTTCCACAAGATGGTTTTCCTTCTTCTCCCTTGTGTTTCCTCCTTACCTAACATGAAGTAGTTTCTCTTTTAACTTGGGTGTGTGTAAACTCTAGCTACAATGTTGTGAATGTTTGTATGGATTGAATGATTAATGTGTGGGTGTGTTTTAATACAAAGTTATGAGGTATTTTCATGAAGATTTATTGTGTTTGTGCATTTCAATGTCTTATGTTATTTTAACCTAGGTAGAGGGGAATCTCCTTTGAGTAGAGGTTTGTAAAAGCTGGATTTCCTTGGGCAATTTTTGTCTCCTGCTTAGGTTAAATTAGGGCAAACCTCTTAATTTGTATTAGCACCTAGGCTTGGTTGTAATTTGGCCGTCTGAACTCCGATTCGAGGGTGAAGTCTAGGGAACCCTTGGTTGATAGGCCAAGAGAGCTACTTTGGTAGCTTGAATTGGAATCCCTTGGCCTATTGACCGAGCTAGTGGCTTTGCTTCACTAGTTGCACTTCCCAACGGTTTACAACCTCCTTTACCACACCTATGCATTCGAACTGGCAAGTCATTATTGTTAGCTAGGGGCAGCAGCACTCGGGTGAAGCATTCTCAATTAGTGTCCAATCCATTTATTTTTCCAAATGTTTTAGTTATAAATCGTCGTTTTCACCAAAAACCAATTGCTAGATAATGTTTCAAACAATCGACTAGGGTCCGACCCGAGTTGACATTTAACATACTTGCCCTATATTGCACCCAATTTAAGGTTTATACTTGGGAATTAATTGGGACTTTTACTGGGGTATTCATGATTGAGTCAAGGCAACCAAAAGCTGATGATAGGCAATGGGAGTATGATCGCCAGGTTGAACGTGATTGTCAACTGATGATGGTGATGGCCGAAGCCTTCCTATTCAAGAGCAGGCGTCCTCATCTTGTCATCGTGCACATCCACATAAATCATTAAGGCGTAACAGGGTAGAAGCACATCAATGCTTAATGCAACAATATTGTGTTCCCAATCGAACCTACGAAGCTAAGCTCTTTAGAAGGAGATTACATATGTCCCTCTCCTTGTTCAATCGAGTTATCAATGGCGTTGTTCAATAAAACTCCTACTTTCAGCAATGCCGAGATGCTGTGAGTCGCCTATGATTCTCCCCAGAAGCAAAGCTTACTACTTCCCTCCTAATGCTTGCAAATGGATGCTTAGCCGACTCCTTAGATGAGACCTTTGATATGGGTGAGACCACTGTATTGTAGTGCATGCGGAAAATTTGTAATACCATAATATGAATCTATGGCCCTAAGTATTTACGAGCACCAAATGTGGATGATCTTCGCATCCTTCTCTATCATAGTGATCGGTGTGGCTTCCCGGGTATGATAGGGTCGATCGACTACATGCACTGGAAGTGGAAAAATTGTCCAATGGCAAGGACAATATATAGGGCGCAATGGGTGGCCAATCATTTTTCTTGAATCTCTAGCGTCAAACAACACCTGGATTTGGCATGCCTTCTTGGGAAATCCCGAATCAAACAACGATATAAGCACGCTTGGAGTCTCCCCGCTGTTCGATGAAGCAGTCAGAAGAAATCTTCCAAAAGTCAGGTATCAGTAAATGGTACAAATTACGATCAATGTTACTAATTGGCTGACGACATTTGTCCCGAATGCTACATTTGTGTAAACCATTAGCAACCCTAGTAACTAGAAGAAGCAACTGTTTGGAAAATGGCAAGAGGCATACCACAAGGATTTTGATAGAGATTTTGGCATTCTACAAGAAAGATGGGTCATTGTTAGACCGCCAGGTCGATATTGGGATGTACAAACAATGAGAAAAATCATGCTCATATGCGTTACTCTACACAATATGACAATTGAAGAGCAACAAAATGAGTTTGGAGAGGAACAAGTTGAGATGATTGAATATGAGACTAATCCATATTTCACATTAGATCCACCGGATCATGACACTCTGACTCTCGTGGAGTACATGATAAGGCATAATAGGATTCGTAACCGTGAAAGGCACCATGCGTTGAAAGCGGATTTCGTTAAGCATTTGTGGATAAGAGAAGGAGGAGGGGAGTAGAAATGTGGTGTGACTCTAAGTTTAATTTGTGCACTTTCGAATTTGTGTTGGGTGTTGAGTTTGTTGCATGTCTTTTGTGCAAATTTATTGTTGTGCTTTGAACCGATTGTTATCAATGTACTTTCCATATTCGAGTGTCTTAATAAAGAAAGTTGTTGCATTAATAATTGAACATAAACATATAGTCGTATGGTGTTGGTAGGCGATTTTGTCTGTTGGGGACAAAAAACAAACAAACCAAATTAATTATTAAAGAAAAAATAAAAATAGAAATAAATAAATCCGCCAGGCGTGCCGCGTGCGGCTCGGTGGTGGGCCGCGTGCCTTGCGGTCCTGCCCCGCCCCGCCCCTCCCTCCTACCTTCCTCTTCCTTTTGTCCATTTTTTGGAGTATTTTCCCACCTCTTTTTTCCTACTTTACCTTTTTTCCCTTCTTCACTCTCGCCCCCGTCCCCAACATTGTGGGCTTCTTTCCTATTTTTTCCTACTTACGCCCCAACATTGTAGCCTTGTAGGTAGTCTAAAGAAAATTGTTTTGCTCCTGGCATTACTTTTTTATTAGTTATTTCAAATTATCTGTAAATTTTTTCAATTTTTTAATATTTCATGTTGATTTAATTGATTTATAATCATAAATTTATATGTTATATCAAATAAAATATGCATTTCCAGAATAAGATTCATAGAGTTCAACTAACATTTTATCTTCATGTTTATGTGAGTGAAAAGGTTATAAATTATAAGGTAAGTGTTAAACACAATGATGATTTGATATTACCAATCCTATTGTGAAATATCATCGACGAACTTTATCAAATTAGATGTGTAATTAGTATCACCAAATAGAGTTTGCCGTAATTGTTAAATGCCTTAACAAAATTTATCGTATAATGAATATTTTTTATATTTGATTATTTTTAATTGCTGGAAAACATAAAAAATTAAATGACATGGAAAATAAGGATGTTGTGGATGCTTAAGAATGGAGAAAAATTGAAATGATGAGGTCTAATTTGAGAGTTCTTATTATATTTTACTAGGTTATAATCCGGCCTGTTGGCCTAATAAGGATAGTATTGTGCATGTTCATATTTGAGCAAATATATTTTTCTTTGTCAACCAATTCAACTTTGTTAACAATCCTTTAGAATAACACTTGGAGAGTGGGTGTATAGGTCACACAATCGGAGGAGTATCATCGTTGTTTAAGAATCTGGAGCCACCTCCAATTTCTTGTATATCCTAATTCCCAAGCAACTATATAGAATGATGTTACTTTTCATGCCCGTTCATACATTCAAATTGTCTATAGAAGTATCCTTAATCACATTTGTAAAATGGGAATTAAGCCGATAACAAATGATAATGAAAAATTAAAATTTACTACTTTAACTTCCTGTATAATCTCAATATCTTATTTTTCCTTTACGACAAACACATCCAATGAATGCATCACAATAAATGCTAAGTTAGATGTGTTTCGATCGCGAAACTCGCGTGTTTAATGCACTCTGTTTTCAAGGAAACACCAATCACAAAATCAAACAACCGTCAAATATCCGCCGCCGAAAGTCGTGCAATGTTGATTTGATCGATCAAACAGAAACCAAGACGACCGTCAAATATCCACCACCGAGTATGAGGCGATGTTGATTTGATCGATGCACCTTTGACTTCTAACCAAGACCAACCGTTATTCGGTTCACCACCTCTCCAAACTACGTTCGAACGAGGGTGTTCGACGAGCAACAAGGAAACTAGGAGGATCTAAATTACGTTACCTCTACTCCTATAGAGATTCCTCTGGAGAGCTCCACGACTACGACTTTTCAAAGGAGATCTTTGACAAAGAAAATCTACGAAGCTAGAGAGAAAAAGATAGATTCTGCGACGATGTCGTTTGAGATTTGATCTTGTCGTCTTGAGCTTCTCTCTCTTCCCGATCTTTATACCCCGCTCTTCTCCCTATAGTCGTAGTAACTGCCTTCGCGCCTTTGTCTCTACGTTCTGCATTCCTGTCAACCGTGTGGATAATTCCCTCCTTGTTGCATAACTCCCACGAGTACGAAACCGCTTGGACCCGCGGGAACTTGGCCAAACGACACTGAGCCAAAATCTATAATTTCCCACCACGGTTCGATCCTCCAAACAACCCTGTCCACACAATAAACAAACGGCATTGAAACAACTCTCGCCACTGCGACGTTGTTTTAAGCTAAACAACGTCTCTTCCTATCTTCGCGGTGTCGTTGGATCTTTACGACACCATTGGGCTTATCTCACAACGTTTTAATCCACAAATCAATGTTGTTTCCTACACCGCGACATCGCTTTAAACTTGGACTTGGCTGGCCGGCCCTACCAAAATCCTACCCCTGTGGTATTGTTTTTAATTAAATGGTGTCGCTTAGCAATATCGCGGAGTTGTCGATACCTCTTGCGGTGTCGTTGAGCTTCCTTGCGGTGTCGTTGGCTTACTCCGTGATGTCGTTTTAACTCTCCGCGGTGCTGCCCAACTCCAAATGACACCGTCTTTTGTCCTGCGATATCGAATTAAAAGTCGAGACTAATTAATGTGGCATTGAATTCAATCTAAAATAATTTTGGGTGTCAACAAGATGCAAAACATTGGATTCTAAAGTAGATGCAATAGATTTTCTAATTTTGGGTAATCCAGAATGATGAACACAAAACCACGGGACTTGACACCTTAATTTTACACACAATCATGTTAATATGTTCCAACTACTTTGAACCAAATAGAGCTTTTGTAATATACGAATAAGCTTTGAGAAGCAAATAAACAACCACTCTGCAAAACTTATTAGGTTCTCTAGCATAAAGCTTGATCTTGTAAGTTACGGTTCCAACCCTCGATTTCGTGAGGGAGAAAGAGCAAGCGATTTTGATCTTCAGATGCATCCTCTATTGATAAATCTTCTGAAGTTGAGAGCTTTCCTTACAACCCACCAAAGTCTACTACCACTGACTCTTCTAGTTCGTTCAGTTTCCATTATTGGAAGCCTCCACGCATGAATCTCATCCTCTTCCATAATCCTCATTGTATTCATGATTGTTCTGTTAAATCCATGAGAATATAGGACCGTAGCTCATAAGCATGAGCAAAATAGATTTGCCCTCTCTTCATATTCATAACCGCAATGCAATCTTCACGGACAGGTGTCAAGACCGTGATGTGTGCAGTGAAACCGTGACGTCGACACAAAACACATTGTTTCACTTACACGCTTCACAGTTTCCTTGTAATCTTCACGCCTTGTACCCTTGATAATCTTCCTGGAACTTTGATCCATGCAATTTCCAGCACTTTATCCCGTTTTCGCTCCCTTTCGTCCAAATTTATGATAACACTTGAAATGCATGACATTAATGCTTGCTCCTACATCCGCCACGGATCTCTCTACATGAAATGGACCAATGTATAAGGGAATAGTGAAACTCCTTGGATCTGGTTGCTTCTGGGGAAGCTTGTTTACAATGATGGCGTTGCACTCCTTGCTCAAGGTGATGAGGCGCAGTCTTCAAACTTCCGCTTCTTGGAGAGACGCTCCTTAATGAATTTGGCATAATTTAGCATATGAGCCAAAGCCTCCAAGAATGTGACAAAGTCGTGGAGCTTCTTTAATTAGCATCTTCATAAAATTACCAAACTTCGCCTCCAAACAATCCTTGTGAACTCTTGAGGGGAAAGGAGGGGAGGCTTGTACTCATCGGCGGTGCCTTCCTAACCTTGTATTTCTTTGCCTCTTTATGATATTGTTTGATCACTGTTGAAGGGGCTTATTCTTCTTATGCTACTTTTTTTTATTTCAACCTCTTAAGTCACCTTCCCACTTCTAAGCAAAATGACATGCAACCCCACCCTTGAATCTTTGGGGTTTGCTACGGTTTGGTAAGGTAAGGCTCCTTGAGGTCTCTCAGTGAGGCCAGGGTCGTCCAATAGATCGCGGAGGCCTTGTTCCAATATTGAGATGTGGCCCATGAGATCTTTCTATAAGTATAATATAATTAAAATATTATTATTCAAAACATAATATATTCTATATTTTGTAAAATAAATTATATATTATCTTTCTATTTTTCGTTGTCTCCATGAGATCATTTTCAATTGTTATCATAGCTATTTCATTAAGATTTGTTTTGTATTATTGTTAATACAAATAGGATATTCAAAACAAAAATAGTACTTTAGCCATCAATATTCATGTCCAGTGTATATATACGTGAAATTATTAACCAATAACTAACACTCGTATTAATTAATATAATTAAATTGATCATCATACTCAGAATCAATTAATCATACACTGGAAATAAAACCTAAAATATACGATCGGATTAACTAACAGATCTAGGTGGAGGCCCCTAATAATCGGAGGCTCTGTGCTAGAGAGCCAGCTGGCACATGCTCTAAGCCGGCCTTGGTGAGGACTTCCGCGAGATTGGGGATTTGGGTCTCCAAGTTTTGGAGACTCACTTGCTAGCTTCATAGCCCTACCTCAACCAAGGAAAATATTCTTGTAGAAACTTCCATGAACTTCTCAATCTTCTCAAACTTCTGAGAACTCAAACTCACGAAGGTGGTCACAAGATCTTTGAGCTTGGACATCTTGTCGGGTTGTTATGGTTGATGTTGATACCCTTACCCACCTTGCAGTTGATATTGTTGCGATTAAAAGTTTTTGGGCCTTAGTTGAGGAAATAGAGGTCTTGGTTGATATCCATCAATAGGCCGTTGAAAACCCAAAAGCCTCGAATTTTCTGGTGATGCCCATGAAAGGTTTGAATGGTTGCACCAACCCGGGTTGTATGTGTTTCTATAGGGGTTGTTGTTGTTGGTGGCCCTAGCATTTAAGATAAAATTGACTTGCTCTTCCGGGGTAGTGGCTTCCATAATAATTTGGACCTCCTCCATTGAGTCTTGAACACCATTCACTTACCATTAGTTGGCTCTTCCCTTGACTTATATCCTTTAGTAACACCTTAATAAACTCATCAATCCTTGCTTCAGGTGAAGGGCTAGCCTCGGTAGCATGAACTCATTTTTCCCGAGTTTGTCTTCCTATCATCGTCATGGCCCAGTAATACCCCTTTGACATCATTTCTTCAAATAACTCGGTCATTGTAGAGGTTTCTGGTTAAGCATTGAAATCTTATTGGAAGAGACCGTAGTAGAATGTTCCAGTCTTGAAATCTTCATCGAAACCATGTGAGGGTATCGAAGGAAGAACTCGATGTAGCGCTCCCAAGCATCCCGTAAGGTTTCATCCTTTCCTTGGAAGGCAAGAAGTATCTTTCCATGAACTTTGTCACCATGTCGTTCTAAGAGACAATTGAGAGAGGAACTTGGTTATTGAGCCAACTTTGTGCCTTGACACTTAGGGAGTATGAGAAAAGCCTCAACCTATGTGCTTCTTGACGTTTTGTAATATTTAAACCTATAATTTTTTTATATTTATTTTCTATCAAATAAATACTATTTTCGTGCCATGTCCGTTCTTATACTCAATAAAGTCTCAAAAATATTAGGCCCGACATGGCCCACTTATATACCGTGTCGTGCTCGTGCCCATGAAGTTTAGGCCCTGCACGACCTATAAATTATTTGTGCTCGTGCCGTGCTGGCCCATTTATTTCGTGCCCGTGCTCATGTCGTGCTCTAACCGTGTCGTGCCGTGCTAGCCCGTGGGCGGCACGGCCCGGTGCCCACGTACAGACGTAACGCAGTAGTTGACGGGCATGGACTGGACGACAAGACGTAACGCAGTGCCATTGCCGAGTTTGGGTATGCAACCGGACGGTAAGACGTAACGCGGTTGGCATACTAGGGTAGGGACACCAGACGGCGAGACGTAACGCGGTGGTTCCTAATGTTGGTGTCTATGGATTAAGAATATAAGTAAGCAAATTCTAAAGATAAGATAGGAGTAGAGATCTATTATGGACTGTTTGATAACAAAGTATAAAGGATGAAAGAGAGAACGGCTTTTGTCTAAGTCAAGAACCCGAATAATGTGTTTAGTAGGGAGTTTCTTAGGGCAAAGACCTAAGGAAGTAACGACGAGACTGACCCCTTCTCACTCACCAGGTGCAGAGAGGGGAAGAGGACGCATCCATCAAGAGGAGGTTACTCAAGGAGAGGAGCCACGGCAAACCTGAAGATGTCAACTGGATCTGGGTAACGAGATGGAACCTCTCATTATATCTATCTTTAGTTTCATATCTTAATGAGTATACTGGGAAACTCAAGGATTGTGTTTTATGTTTTGTTGCTCTGGATTGAGGTCTCCCAAGTGTTTAGGGCATTTCACTTGAAAATCTTAAACATTGTTGTTGTTGATTTTTGGTTTTGACTTGTAAACTTGTTTTGTGGGTTGCTCCAAAGTAACCGGTTTGTGGTTTGAGTTATGGTTTTATTTTCAAAAAGGATCGGTTCGTTTCACTCCCTCTCTTCTAGCTCATTCTCCTTCTTCTCCATCCTTCAGCTTCTCTCTCTTCTCTCTCTAAAATCATAAATTTCTCTCAAAATCAACTCTTCTTTAAAGGGAAAGGGGTCTTCTATTTATAGGCAATCTGGGGACGGAAAAATTCACGGCCAGAAGCACAGAGATCACGGTCGTGATCTATTGAAGTGAGGCCGCGATCTTGGAACGATGTCATCATGGACTTTGGAAATAAGGAGATCGCAGGATGACTTTGCGGTAGCGATCCATGAGTCGCGGTCGCGACCTTCCTCGCGGTCTGATAACGCTGTGCCCGTGATTTGACAGGGGAAAGTCTCTACTTCTCCCTGACTCCTTCCTCGCAAAGTTCGCGTCTTAAGCCCTCCAATCCGAGACTGCAATATGGGGCTTCCGCGCCGCGATTTTTGGATTGAGTTCGCGGTCTATGTTCTCGGTTGTGATCTTCAGCTTCTAGGCCACGATCTTGAGCTTCCTGCCCCTTTGCTACACTTGTGACCTTGTTTTGTACCTAATTCGCATATATCGTCTAATACACCCTAAAATCACATTGAATTCGTACAGGAACGAAATAGGGATGTAATCGACGATGTTCAAGTAATCATGCAAATGAATTGGCACAAAAAACCTTGATATGAGGGTTAACTAACACTAATTTACGTGTTATTAAAATCCCTACAACAGCTAAAACATCAACTATCACATCATCATTGTATCACTATATAATCACAACATATAGAGGTATGAAACCACTACACAATCTCATGATAAATCATTGTATGAACACGTCATAGCCAAAACCAACACATGAACACATCATCTACACGCACAGTCGGCTTAACACATCATAGGAAACATCAATTAGACACATCATAAGCAATCATATTCTACCCAGACTCAAGCACATGCACAATTAGGTAAGTTATGTACATTTTACTTTTAATGCCAAGTTATACACTCCCTGAGATCTCGTGAACTCGTAATCTCGTAGGCACGAAGTGCCAAATCTCATAAACTTGTGGGCACAAAGTGCCATATCTCATGAACTCATAAACTCGTGGGCACGAAGTGCCATATCTCGTGAATTCGTAAACTTGTGGGCACAAAGTGCCATATCTCGTGAACTCATAGCCAGGCTTGGCGTTACTCCTTATAGGGAGTTATCGTATAACTCTTTTATTCTCCTTTTCTTTTCTTGAGTTAGACAATACTCATGCAATCCATCTCGTCATAAGCCCATAGGCACACATATCATATCATATCATATCATATCATATCATATCATATCATATCATATGCTCATTGATGCCATACACAATAATCTCAAAAGCACATCAACACATTTTTCACATAGCTCTTCATCAATACACGTTGATGATAGCAAACTCATACATATCCACATCACATTTCAATCCTCACCATAGAAGCATATATAATTCATTCATAGCTCATTCATCGATCTATCACAGGTCCATGTATTCGGGCCACTTCATGACCCCGAATACCATGCCAATACTATAATATATATTAGGTGAAGAATTGCTCACAACTCTTATACACCCTTGCCCTTCTCCACAGCTCTGGCTTGCCCATTACCTTTATACACCATATGAATACATTTAATACACATAGTTCCTTAAACAATCAATTCACTCTACTAAATTGAAAATATGAACAAACTAAATCATGTTTATTGTTAGTCACTCGACATCCAAGAAATCTTCCCCCTCCCCCCCCCCCCCCCCCCCCCCACTAATGTCCTCATTGAGTGAAAGAAACTAAGAAATTGTCCAACTCTCCACTCTTCCCCAACAGGGATGACAATGGGTCGGGTTGGGTCGGGTTTTGCCAAACCCAAACTCATGGGTTTATCCGTGAAAAAAACTTGGGGTAAAACCCACTGAGTTTGAAAAACACAAACCCAACCCAACCCGCTGGGTATCCGCGGGTTCATGGGTACCCATGGGTTTTTGTCGTAAAAATTTACAATAACAAGTTCCTATCAAAATTTAAGTCTAATATCAATCTCTCAATACAAATTATCCACATATAAAACAACATTCTAGAAAATTCAAGGAAATCACAAATTAACTATACAAATTGTTCAACACCAATCTAGAAAACTCAAGAAAATTGAAGCAAATCACAAGTTATCCATAAATAATATGATTAATTGAAAGCTTCTTCCTCCTTTTCAATTAATTTTCTTCACTCTCCAATCAATAACATCAACTTCATTCTACACAATTAGAAAGAAAAAATTAGACATGTCTCCACAAACATAAATAAGATTAGTTGTTTAGAATATTAAACATACCGAGAAAATTAATTATATGGGTGTGGGCGGGTACCCATGGGGAGGGTTTACCTAAACCCAAATCCAACTCAACCCTTTGAATAGTGAACGGGTTTAAACCCGAACCCGGCCCAAAACCCGTCAACACAAATTTTACCCATGTTGACCGAGTTGGGTCGGGTGGGTACCCGTGAGTTCAGGTTTTATTGCCATCCCTATTCCCCATCATCTTTCCAATTAATCTCTGTTCACCCACACTTTTTAGGATAAATCCCATGATCACCTCATAAAATGCCCCAAATCTCAGCTACTTTAACACATGTGGGCAAAAGTTACAAATGTAACACCCTGAATTTCTGGGTTAGGTTTGTCTGGTAATTGATCTGGTTCGGGTTTGAGTAAGGTGATACTATCTATGTATACTATATATAAAGCAGATTCATGAGTTGAATTTTCTCCATTTCAAATTTCAAACAACCAGAGTGAAAGTAGGAAGGGTATTTTTCTCTTCACAATTAGTTATTTATTTTGTAGAAAAATATATCAGCACCAAGATTTGAACCATGGTATCTTTAAACAAAGCCAAGAAACATAACCAATTACACTAAACAAATACGTTGTATACTTTTTATTACACGTTGTATACTTTTGCATAACGATAAGCTAGCTCAGTAAGTCTCCTGTAAGTATCTTTATGGTGTTTGGTACTTCAATTTTCATATTTGATTATTTTAGTTCTAGACTATCCTCCAATCTATAAAATATATGAAGGATATTCATGGGTTAAATTTTCTTAATTTTAAATATCCAGCAAACAAAGTGATTTTTGGAAGGAAAAAAATGTAATTTAGCACACTTTAATTGGAATGCTTCGTTTAAACATTAATGTTGGGTTTTAAATCTGTCGCACTGATTTTAGCATTTTCGCTAGGCTTTAAATTCATTGGGTTCTATTTCATTTTCTAATTTATTTTTTATTATATTGTTATGTTGCTGGAGAGACGCAAACTCTCTCAACCTCGAAACCTAGATAAGAGGAAACAAAGAAGCAGAAATCTCGCAACCATAACTCTGTCACCAGCTCGGCCGTTCTTGGGACCTCTCCATGGAGCCTTCGACACCTTTATAGCCAGACAAAGCTAATCAAGGAGCACAATAGAGGTCCAATAAGTCTCCCCATAGCCGTGTTTCGCTTTGCAACCACACCTGCATATAAGAGTCGAAGATCCTAAGAGCTGCTACTGAAAGAATTACCAACTCTGCTAACAATACTCCTCGAGAAACACCATTTGGAAAACAAATGATCCCATATCTCACTTTTGGCATGTCAAATTTACCCCACCGCATCAATTTTATCTGGGTCACTATCGCATCCATGGCCACAATCCATGCTATGATACTCCAACGCAACACGTAGAATTTACTCTAGAGAAGAGCAGACAAGTGTTGTTTTCTCTTCACAAGACGTATCGTATCCCAAACTGCGCTCACTGAGTAGCTAAGCATCAATTTCTCATTCCAAAAGCCTTCATCACCCTTCTTCCTCATAAACAGCTGCACAGTGGACGAAACTTCATAATTTATCTCCACGCCCAATCTACTCTATTTTCACCTGTCAAACAACAAAAGGATGGTGTGTTTTCCATAAATCCAATTATCAAACCAAGCTGCACATGAATGAAAAATTAAGTTATCATTATTCTAATAAAATCCCCAACCTTGAAGATTCCATTATTATTTTCGCTTCCATAATATATATGGTACTAATCGTTGGTTAAAATCTAATTTTGGCCTTTAGATTAATCCAACGATAGTATGTAACCTATTGGTTAAATGATCATAGATAGAATTGTGTTAATATTGATATGTTGTTGGGGATTAGAGTTAACAGGCGATGAACACAGATTATAAACTATTGGGGGGTTTTGTTTCATGTACCAGACTTTCAAATTCGCAGGATATAATTTTTTTTTTGTCTATTTCTCTTGCTTTTGGCAATCTAATTGACGAGGAAACACTTTTTTTCATGTAAAACTCTTATTGGATTGCTTGATATTGAATTTCTCACAACGAAACTCTTTTTGACAATATATTTGACTCTCATCTTCAACCTCACTCATCTCCCCCAAGTGTTTATGATTATAGATGTGGTATTATCTCTTTTTATATCTAATTGTCTTTCCCTATGTTTATTTTGGGAGCATAATTAAAGGCTTTTGTTTCACATCTGAATATGCTATGGATTTTAGGAGGAACAAAATGCAACATGAAGGCACAAAGTTACTTTAACATTTGGAATTCAAAGTGAGCTCCCATGTATTGAGCATTTGAGATCAATTTGCTCTTCATTGCCCACTGTTTTGTCTACCTCTACTTTCGCATTATAATATTAATACTGAAGTGAACAATGAAGCATCTAAAGGCTCAACTTTTAAGTATAACTTCCGTAGTACACAAATTACTCATTTGATTTTTTCTTTTATGCCTCGAGCCCTTGACTCATGTTATGAATGCTCACTCTGAATCTCGACACTATGACATTTTTTGGTTTCTCTAACAGCTTCTACAACGACACTCTCATGCATGCATGGATGCAAAATAATCACAAATTCTATATCATATTAGTTTGTACAAAATAATTAAGGTTAATGTTGTATCGAGGGTGGGTTTCACGTTATCGTGGTACATCTTTAACATGCTACTTCATATTGTTGATAAATCTTTAGTGTGCCCTATATATTCTTTCACAGGATATAATTTCATATCTATAACGTACCGTGATGAATAAAGATGGTAACTATTGAGAAAAATATTTGATTAAACTACATAAATGGACAATCATTTTCTTTTATGATTAAGATTGATTTTGTGTGTGAAATGGAAGAAAACTTTCATGTTCTCCTATATGAAATATAAAATAAATAGACACTATTTACTTTCTAAATATATTTATTAGTTGTTTGTATTTGTATTCATTTATATATATTTTTTATCTATACCAAAAATTATATATTATAAATGAAAAGAACACATCAAAATATAAAATAATAAAACTCTCCCGGGTCCGGTCCTAGTATATTTAAAGCAGATTCATGGATTGGAATTGTCCCATTTCAAATTTCGTGACCCTAGAGTAATTCTAGGAATGTTATTTTTGTCATTTCACCAATTCATCTTTATATATTAAAAATGTCATCATTGGGATTTGAACTCTAGTCACTTATATGAATATAGGGCATTATAACCAACTAGGCTACATTATATTTATTGTTATTTCTTTGATTAAAATGTAGAATATGTTTTGTGATGAGTGTACGTGGGCACCGGGTCGGGCCGCCCACGGGGTAGCACGACAAGGCACGAGCACGAACATGAATTATATAGGTAATTCCGGCATAAGATGGGTCGTGTCGGGCCTAATATTTTCCAGATCTTATTGAGTATAAGAACGGACATGGCACGAAAATAATATTTATTTGATATAAAATTAATATAGAAAGAATTAATAATCTATAAAAGATATAAAGGCAAAAATGGGTTGGCTTTTCAGGGATTCAAATTTCCAACCACTAGAGAGCTTTCTGTAGGGGCAAGCATGTCATTACTTGTGGTTCATTTCACCATTTTATGATATGTCAATAAATTTGTAGGCCCGGGCAAGGTAAACTTCATTATACATTTTGATTCTTCATATAAATAAAATAGTTTGAAGAATGAACAAACTCTATACTCACTCTGTAGGTTGAATGAATTTTGCCTTTAACATTTACAGTAACTGGTACATTTACAATATCGTGATGCTTCAAATTTTTTTTGTATTATTTAGAAGTTTACTCATTATTTGTCCCATTAATGGAAGTAGGTTGAAATATAAGATTTCATCTGGTCTTCAAAGTTGAGTACTGAGTGCATTGATTGAGTGTCTTTTAACTTGGTTGTAGAAAACTTATTCATGCAAATGTTTATAGATGTGGATTTTAAAAAAAATTCATTTCTGTTAAAATATCTACATATAGTATTGGGCAGTCATACCCATTGCCACCAATTGCAGCACCCATAATCCAAATGGCACATATATTTTCAATACTATTGACTATATTTTACTGAAATCATGAATTTTTTTATAAAGTTATATTTTCACAACAAGAAATTATATATTAGTAGAATTAATTATTTTATTTTATTAAAAATATAAGAAATACTTAAAAAATTAAGATTTGGTCATTATAATAGCCTTCAACCATTCTCATATGCCAATTTAACCTATTATCAACCACAAATTTGTTTGGAGATATATATTTGTTACTAATGAATTAGTATTTGATAATTTATATTTTTTAATTATTACATTTTGATTGATTTTTATGATATAGTTAGAATAAAGTAAGTGGTAAATCTTAGCTTTTCATATTACCAATTGGTCAATCCCTTGAAGTTTGTAGTGACTATTAAGCCCGATGATTAGTTTGGTGTGATTGGCCATTTTCATCGAGAATTGTGGAATCTCTATGAGTTTGTGAATTTCATTATATCTCCAACTTTGGCGACGACCATTTTTAGTGAGAAGGAGCCGAGACTCGAGATGGGATTGGTTGCATGCAAATATGGAGATTATTTAAAAGTTTTTTTTAGGGGTCTACCCCAATATCGTTTACTCTCTTTCAAATAACGGAATGAAAACTTATGAATTATGATGCGATATCGACTTGCACGATATTTAATTCTCGTGGTCGAAAAATAAAGATTCGAATACGACGATTTAAAGATAAATTGACAGCGTGCTTAATGGATAAATGGAGTTGCGTGGGTCTCAATGTGACATTATCCCATTAGTTTACATAATTATATATGCGGGGTTTAATTATGCAGCATCGCCCCTTGCGAACAGCTTGATGCACTATCTCCCTTCAACCCTTTAGCGAAATGCGGCAAAAGGAAGGAAAATCCATGGACCGACCCCATCGTCTCCCCCCCCCCCCCCCCCAGGTAACTCCAATTTATCGTTTATGAATGAACTACTAGGAGAGGTCTAGTCTAAATTCGGGAATAAACTAGTAAATAGAATCATAGGTAAAAAATGAGTTATTGATATTCAATTCTTTCAAGACAGACGTGGAGTTACATGGTGATTAAGTGATGAGCTGGTGGACGTGTGTGCATCTGCATAGGTTAATTAAAGAATGGTTTGCTTGGATGAATTAAATGGACCAGGTTGGGAGTAGATCTGTTAGAGTAATCTTTTGGTGCTATAGTCATATGCATAATCCAATAAGAATCTATCACATCAGCGTCTTCTTCTTTCTCTTCGAAAAATCTTTAATTTTCCTTCTTTTAATCTTTAACGGATGATTTCTCACTCGACTCAGAATTTAATTTTCTTTTGCAAGTTAGATCAGATTAATTGTGCTCTTCAAAATGATATCCACTATGATATTTTTTGGAACAAATTTTTTTTGTCAGTTATTACTAGTCTGTACCATATGGTATTGACTGGTATTAAATAACAGCATACCATATGGTATGAGAAATACCATCCCATACCATGTTAGTATAGTATGGTATGAAGTTGGTAACGAGAGGTATGAAATTTTTCAAACCAGAAAAATGTGAAATCCAATAGATCATGATTAATCGTTCCTTCTGTGCAAAATTTTTCGAAAACGAGTAAAAAACGAATTTAATTTTCTTTTGCAAGTTAGATCAGATTAATTGCGCTCTTCAAAATGATATCCACTATGATATTTTTTGGAACAAAAAAAATTTATCAGTTATTACCAGTCTGTACCATATGGTATTGACTGGTATTAAATAACAACATACCATATGGTATGAGAAATACCATCCCATACCATGTTAGTATAGTATGGTATGAAGTTGATAACGAGAGGTATGAAATTTTTCAAACCAGAAAAATGTGAAATCCAATAGATCATGATTAATCGTTCCTTCTGTGCAAAAATTTTCGAAAACGAGTAAAAAACGACGGAGATACCATATGGTATGGAGTTGGTAATCAGAGGTATGAAAATTTTTTTCTAAAAAAATATTGAAAATGGATATAATTTTGTAGAGCACAACAAACTCGTTCCATCTGTGCAAGAAAATTGAAATCCGAGTTAGAATGAAGAAGATATGACCCAATAAAGAAAACTAGGAAAAATAAATTCTTTTAACTCTCTACCGTTAGATATGCAGCCACTTAAAAGAAGGATCCATATTTAGTTACTCATAGTTATGCACTCTATCTTGAGCCGACCAGGTTACAGCTCGCAAAGAAGGATTCCACAACAGCAAAGAAAACATACACGTGAAGATGCGGTGAATTTTAGATTTAATTGTTTAATTGTTTGTTTTGGTTATATAAGAGTTTAATTAGTAGTTTTAGTCCATATTTAATTAGTATTTTTTTTCCTTTTTTTTAGGTTAGTTTTTGTTACACCCCATCTTTTGCTGAGCCGAAATGATGATTATGCCCTCGGTCCAAATTTGTCAAATTTCACCGTAATGTCGAGGAGGACTAAAAATGTGAACTATCAGTTCAAGCGGTGTCAAATTTCGACATAAAATGAGAAAGTTTCGGGCATTAATTGAGTTTCGGATTAAAATCACCCGTAACTGTGAAATTCCCAAAATGACCCCGGTGGAAATTGAACCTAGGAAAACCTAATGTTTCTCTCGGTTCCATCTCTTCTCCTGAATCGCATAAATCCCATTGGAACATACAGGACGCCGTCAACCCAGGTGCTCGGGAAAAAAAAAAACTAACACAGCCCTCTGGTATCCACAAAACCGACCGATCCTCTACCAATGAAAACCATGGCTGATTAGGAGCTTTAGATTTTTCCCACAACTTCACTGCCTTCAAGATTCATATAAGGAGATTTCTCGGTCTCCGACGATGAAGACGACGAATTGACCGCCAGCAGTTTCAACCGATACAAAGATCGCCATCAATCATCATTCTGATTATGTGGAGACTTCAGTTAATCAGAAAGCCGTGGAGATGCTTCTCAACCTCCAAAGGACCCCCTTCAAGCTGTTACCGAAGTTTTAAATTCCGACCCTTTTTCCTCAAAAGATCAATCTCGGACTGCGCGATGGAAAATCAGAACCCGAAGGTGAATATATATGAGTACATGATCAAATGCATGGTGGCAGGGTTGAGGACAAGGTTGGATTCTGGAAGACGATGGGCTCAACAGGCGCCTCTTCCACGACCACCAACGCTTCATCGCGAATCGCCTGGACAAGTTTCACACGGAGTTGAGGACGACTTGTTAGGAGAAGAAGACAAGCAGTTCCGACAACGATCCCGGCGTAGGCGACTTCCAATTTTCTTTGAGTGGTGGTTATCATCGCGAAGAGGACGATCCCAGGATCATCACCGCGTCGACGAAATCGGATTCTGACGTCAGATGAGGGAGAAACGAGCATCGAAAGTTTGGCCGAAAATCTATCAAGTTCGGGCACCACTACGGACAATTCAAAAATTTTGTGGATCATTTCGGTAATTTTACAGCACGGTCGTGGTCAACTATGTTGACTGGAAACATTTCAATTTCGGTACCTAGTACTTTTAAATTGATAGAATATTTATTTTGGTCATAACTCGATCAATTGACGTCCGATCAAGGAATCGTCAACGCCTATGGAATCGTGAGAGCGAGGAGAATTTAAATGGAGCAAGTATGGAAATGTTAGAGCAAATTCAGAGTTGGTTTCGACGGATTAGAGGTGAGTGTAAAGGGGGTAAATTCTACGCCTTGCGTGTTCTTTCAAGAATTTCAAGTCTTGAGTATTTTGATGAAGTGAATGTCGTTATTTGATTGTGCTTATGGTTGATGATATGCGATTTTGTTTGAGCTATGCTTGATGTGAATGTGCATGAGTTCTTATTTATTTAGATTTAAGCTTTAAGTTTCTAAGTTATTGTTAAAGTAAGAAACAAGTTCTTTTTAAGAAGTAACTCAGCTTCAAGAAGGTGAAGTCATTTTTTAAGTGTTTTTAGTCACTAGCGCCAGTCCGTTGCCTTTTTGAGACAGTTTGAGATAGAGCAGCAGTTATGCTCTCAAGACTTTTAAGATGAGCAGCAGTTATGCTCTTGAGAATCGTGGTGAAGAGCCACCACGATAAGTTTGAGATGTTAGGGGGATGAATCGTTACGACTTCCCTAACTAAGTTTAAGTTTAATGAAAGCCTTGATGGCTTCTCATACGTATGAGTTGGCAACCGGACTAGCTAGTGAGGGATCCCCATGTCAGTCAAAAGATTTAAGTCAAGATTTGAGCTTTAAGAGAGTGGAGTAACTTCAACTCCCTCAAGTTTAAGAGTTAAGATCTTAAGTTGGAAGTACAAACAACTTCCACAAGTTGAAGTTAAGTGTTTAAGTAAAGTATTCAAGTATTAGAATTGCTAAAACGTAAGGGCGTAGACTGACCCCATCTTACTCACCAGTTTGAGGAGCTAGAGGAGCAGTTAGTGAGCAGCGAGTTCGAGGGCAGCCAGCTAGTGGAGAGCAGTATAAGCGTCACGGAGGATGCTTAGTCAAGGATTTCAGTAGCAACAACTTCAGAGTATTAGTTATTTACATTTATGATTATGAGTACAGACTGGAGATTATTTTGAGATCAGATTGAGATTTTAAAGTTGAGTTTAATTTGCCCACGTGTTAGGGCTTTGCTTCGAACTTCAAGTGTGTTTTCAGTATTTTTATTTATGTTAAATTTTTCCCGCTGCAATTTAAGGTTTGAGTATTTTATTTATCAATGGCATGTTAGTAAAAGTAGTACCCGGCCGGGTTAGGGTGTTTCGGTGTTTTTTTTTACCTCTATAAATAGAGGATGTAAGAGCTACGAATTTTGTACCCAAGATTTCAGTTATCAAATACATTGAGTGTTTACTCTAGTTCCTTTGTGAATGTTTGCTTAATCTCTCCTTTGAGAATTCAGGACAATTGAGTGGTCTCTTATCAACTAGAGAACGCTTCTAGTTGTGACGAACATCGACTATATCGGTTGGCCTTATCCAGGTGTTTGAGATTGTTTGATTGGTTTCATATACCAATTGGCCCTTCTCACGAGTTCAGGTATGTTTGATCGATTTCCGCGAATATCCTTTATTTTTTGTGTTATTGAAGAAGAAGAAAACCATAAAAAGTTCAACGTTGTGCAACTCTGGTGTTTTGGTCTGAATTTGGGAGGATTCTCGAATTAGGATCATATCAAATTATACCCTAAAATATGTTCCCATAAGCAAGAAATGCAGTAATGCTTGACAGATTAATCAACTCATCGCTTGATGGAATCATTGAATTAGTAGTGCTCCCGTTAATGCAACGTCATGATAAAAATTTAACTTTGAAAGTACCAGTAAGATAAATAGATGAGCTATTATTGGTGTGAGTATTTCATTTAGATCAAGTACAATGTTTTATATGTCTGGTGTTTTATTCCTTAAATTTGTGAACCTTATTTGAGGCTAGATTTGATGAATCCGTTTATGGTAATTGTTGAAATTTAAATTATTGTTGTTTGTGAGAGATCGCTAATGAACGTTCTATAAAAAATTGGGAATTGATAGATTGGTTAAAGTGCTTGCTAATTTGGGACATGGAATTGGTTGAACACATTTAGTTAGTTGTGATACCAAGTAAACATGGTAGTAATTGTGTTGTTCTTAGTTGTCACACGAGTTCATTCAAATAAACTTAAAGGATAACTTCAGTATATGTGGCAGTTGAATAGTGAAATGAGATAGAGTTTTACATATAAATATAAATGGGGAGCTAGGAATGGATTTAGAGGCTATATTAGGTGAAATTTGAGTTCGTTTATTTATGTGATGAGAGTTAGCAGTGACAAATTTTTCTTTGTACCAATATTTTAGATATTCATTAATTGAAACTTTTCGAAGGTGTTAACCATCATATTTTCCATCAAAGGACAATAATTTTCTTTTACAGTGAAGATTAACTATGTATATATCATAGGAAGCAACCCTCATGTTGTCATTTATGGATTTTTTTTATATAGGCAACACTTTGTTTGTAATCATATACGTTACTATTAGTTGCATTTTCTTTGTTAGTCATTTGGTATTTCTCATGTTTCAATGCGTTCAAAGCATATAAAGAGTAGTTTGAGTATTGTGTAGATTGTATATGGCAAAATATAAAGCAAAACACACATTATCAGTGTGAATGACACATACAAATTGGGTAAATTGCAAGGTTGGTCACTGAGATTACTAAAAAACGTTCACGTTTGGTCACTATAAATATATAATTCCAATAATGGTTACTAAGTTTAGTAAAACATGTCATGTTTGGTCACTCTCCATTAGTTATCGTCCAAATCCGTTAATTGCTGACGTGACAAACGAAAGTGTCTAATCAACTGGATTTAACCCGAAAAACACTATACCTGACCCACCCATCATCACAATCCGCCATGTCATTAAACCATACCCAATCCATGTCCCAACCCATGACCCATAAAAAATCCAACCCGCGACCCGCCCCAATCCTTTCTCCGACAATGGCTCTCTTCATCTCTTCATCTCTCTGCTCTGGCAAGGGCACCACACCAAATCCACTTCAGCAACAAAAGGAGCTCCAAATCTGGCCGGTGGGAGGAACCCTAAATTCCTCAGTCCCTCAATATGCCACCATAAGTTGCCGTTATTTTTTGAATCGCAAAACCCAAATGAAATCGAAGAAACCCGATTTAATTCAAGTAATCCAAAACCCAGAACTTGACCCAGTTGCCGCATGTGCTTCATGGAGAGGCAGATCTCCTCCATGGCGTCGCCAAAGTTGGATAAACAGTAGTGGACAGCAGAGGCAACACGACAGTCAGATCTGTAGTCAGCAAGGCTGGAGACATTGGTAATGAAGGAGGGAGTCTGGCGGACCCTAGCCAGGGAGACGCCGATGGCGACCCGAGCGAATCGACAAGGGCTCTGTCGCACGAGCTGGAGTAGCAGGAGATGGAGGTGTAGCAGACTTCCAGGTACAATGTGGCTTTGCAACTATAGTTGATGTAGTTTGCGGTGGTGTTTCCGTCAATGACGCCGATGGCGGAGGATGGCAGATTGAGGAGGAGAAGGAAGAGGAGCAGCGAGAGTGTGGTGGTGATCTCGGCCTTTGACAGATGATTTCTTCCCAAGCTGATTGCTTCAACAAAAGGGATAAACGCATCCATATTGGGGGGAATTCCGTGCAGCCAGTTGATCAAAATTCTGAATTTGAAACGGGGAAAGGAATTGAGAGGGACAACCCCATCTCTCTGCACTTTAGCTTAGTTGTTGTACTTGCTGTTATGTTTCAGCTAGCCCGTTGCCACTGTTATTGTATATAAACATACAGTTAATAATATCAATAGTGGGATTTCAAGTCCATTTCAGTAGGTGGATACGGGATTTGACAGAGTCTCTTGTTCCAGAGATGAAGAGTGAAGAAAGCTAGGTCTCGGTGGCAGGAGGGGAGAAGCACTTGCCGGAGAAAGGATTGGGGCGGGTCGTGGGTTGGGAATAAGGAGTCTAATGACTTGGGTTGGGTTTTATATGGGTCATGGGTTAGGATATGGGTTGGGTTATGGTTTTAATGTCGTGGCGGGTCGGGTATAGATTTTTCCAGGCTAAATCAAGCTGATTAGGCGATTCTGTTTGCCACATCAGCACTACTCAATTAACGGAGTTGGATGAAGGCTAACGAAGAGTGACCAAACATGACATGTTTTACTGAACTTAGTAACCAATGTTGGAATTATATATTTATAGTGACCAAACATGAATGTTTTTAGTAATCTCAGTGACCAACCTTGCAATTTACCCCATACAAATAATATAATCATCAAACTCTCCCGGCCAACAGGCCAGACATTGTGTAGTTATAATTAATGAATTATTAATTAAAAAAAAAGGAAAAATTCGCCAAATGTCACCGGTTACCTTCTCCCATTTAACTCCCACCATTATTAATCTCATCACCCCCACCGTTACCTATTCCTCCCCCCCCCCCCCCCCCCCCCCCCAAACCCCAGTTGGTTTCACCAGGACTTTAATTACCACCTACATTGAAAGTTTCCCAAGCAGTGGTTCATCATCCCATTAATTGGTTTTACTATTATCAGGATATTAGGTCGAGATGAACCCGTGGAGTCCAGGGCCCACATGTGCCCATGGTGTCGTAACCTTTTCTTATAAGGCAAGGAATTCCTCTTACCCATGTAATTCTGATTCTTCTCCTTGTGCCCTAAGCATAGGAAGGTTATGTAAAGGAGGTGTAAGCCATGCGGCTGCTGTATCTATGAATTCATCAATTATAATCACATAGTCGGAGAGGCGTTCCTCTCCCGTGGATTAGTCCTGACAAATCGTCATGCATACCACGTAAAACCTTGTGTCTACTTTACTTTTCATACGATTTATCATGGTATCAGAGCTTTAGGTCCTATTCTTCGCTTCAGCTATCATCATGAGCGACGTAGAAGAGTCAAAGAAGCAACAAGGATCTGGTACGAAAAAGGATTTTACGTCAATGGATCAGGGTTCGTTTGATCCAAGTTCTGTATATTATCTGCATCCCTCTGACCTCAATGGTAAACTACTAGTTGGTGAAGCATTTACTTCGTCAAATTACAGAGCATGGGTAGTCGATGTCACTGATGCTCTCATAGTCAAGAATAAGTTCGGATTTGTTGACGAAACCATCCCACAAACTATAGCAGATCCGGAACTACGGGCATGGAATCGCTGTGATGCATTTGTCAAAGGGTGGCTTCGAATCTCTATGGATAAGGAGGTAAGAAGTAGTGTGTGTTACGCTTAAACGGCAAAAGAGATCTGGGATGATGTCAGGGCTCATTTTGTTCAGGGTAGTCTAACCCGAGGTTATGAACTTCGTCGGATGCTTAGTGGTCTTTGACAAGAAAAGCTGTTTGCTTCTTCCATTTATACTCGTCTACGTACCATATGGGAGGAAGCTCAATCAATGTCGCCTCCTGGAAAGTGCACGTGTGGTCAGTGCAAGTGTGGGTTGGAGCTTCGAACTCGTGTAAGAGAAGATGTTGTGTGTCTGCTCGAATTCCTTATGGGTTTGGATGAGAGTTTTGGCACAGTGAGAAGTCAAATCCTATCCATGAAACCATCGCCAACCCTAGCTGAAGCCTACAACATCGTATCTACAAACGAACATCAACGCTTACTCACACAAAGGCATCATCCTACATTTGAGGCACCTGCCTTCGTCGCAAAAAATTCCAATGATAGGCCGAATAGACCCCGCAACAGTGAAGGTAAACCATTATGCACGCACTGTGGAAAGGTGGGACAATTCAAAGATACATGCTATGAGATCATTGGATATCCCAACTGTGCCGATGGAGACAAGTCAGATAAGGGAGATCGTCGACGTCGACCTCAAGGTGAGCGTGCACCGAAGGCGGAAGTAGCTGAAATGGAGGCCAGTCCGGTGAGTGGTTTCACTATGTAAAAACTTAATCAACTTTGCAAGTCTTCAACTCGTCAAAGGTAACAGAGGATCCAACCGCTAACATGTCAGGTACGTTTCTTAATGAGTGTGAATGGTTAATTAATTCGGGATGCAATGAACATATCACCAAGGATCTATCTATCTTTTGTACGAGTTAATCACTGAGTGTAGTCAGCCAGTAAAGATTCCAAACGGGGACAGTGTTCCAATCAAGAGCATTGGATCCATAAAATTGAACTCTAGGATAAAACTCGATCGAGTACTTCACGTTCCAGATTTCTAGTGCAATCTACTATCGGTCAGCAGGTTAACTAAGGATAATGATGTTGCCATTACTTTCTTGCATGATTTGTGTATTCTTCAGGACTTACACTCCAAGACCGTGATTGGGAAGGGGATTCTCCTTGATGGATTATATTTCTAGAAGCTTTATGGAGAGCGCGAGCAGCTAGCATTCGCCGTAGATGGAGGGCACAAAATATCGGAAGAGATTTGGCATTCACCCTAGGGTCACCCGTTGGCGGGAAAGATTTCCCAACTCAGATCATTTATTTCTTTTCGATAGTCAAAAACAAGTCCCCATGTTACACTTGTTTTCGTGCTAAGCAGAGTCGAACTCCTTTTTAGCGTAGCACTATTAAGACATCTCATTGTTTTGAGTTGATTCATGTCGATATATAGGGTGGTTATCAAACAACATCTACTAGTGGGGCTCATTATTTTTTTACAGTGGTTGACGATTTTAATCGTGGTGTTTGGGTTTATCTGCTAAAATTCAAGTTTGAGGTAGCTCGGTACATTACCATGTTCTGTGAGATGGCACACACCCAATTTGGCTAGTAGGTAAGAAGGATTCTAGTCGATAATGGCTTGGAGTTTGTCACTTATTCCCTACGTGATTACTATGAGAGGTCAGGATAGTTCCTCAAACTAGCTGTACCGACATTCCTCAACAGAATGGAGTTGTTGAGTGAAAACACCGTCATATCTTGGAAATAGCAAGGGCGCTTAATTTTCATGCAGGGCTTCCTGTATGTTTTTGGGGAGAATGTGTTCTTACAGCAGTCTACTTGATCAATCATACTCCGACAACGACAACAAGGAAAACCCCATATGAGATCTTATTTGGCCGCACTGCTTAGTATTCTCATCTCCGTTAGTTTGGGTGTCTCATATATGCTAAGGATAATCATGGGGGGCTTCATAAATTTGCTAATCGTGGACGTGCAGGTGTGTTCTTGGGATATGCAGCCACCTAGAAAGGCTATTGCTTTTACGATCTGCTCACGCGTAAGATTCAATTTTCACGTGACGTCGTGTTTCATGAGACTTATTTCCCCTTCCAGGCTCAAGGTCCATGCGACTTTCATTGGTTGCCTTCTCTCACCATTGATGAACTGTACGAAAGTGCTCCATAACCAGCAGACTCCATGTGAATCCTTCTTCAGTCCTCCCTGTAATAGAACATGTTCATCCTTAGTCACCTTCAGTCGTGACAACCACTCCCTTGTCAACTACCGATCGTGCCAGCCCTTCTCCTGGCGAAAACACTTTTTCCCTTGGAGGGAGCTCAGCATCATGAGAGCCGGCTTCACAGTCAACAAGTGACGACTCTTCTGTTTTCCCCGAACCTCCTTTACATCAGCGTCTGCGGGATTGTCACCCTCCGAAGAAGCTAGATATTTATGAGATAGACCTTACCTCGGCATCTCATGTGCACTATCCCATTTCACATAAGGTTTCATATGATCGAACTACTCCTGCTTATCGGGCATATCTAGCCTCCATTGATCACATTCCAGAGTCGCGTACATTCCAGTAAGCGGTTAAGCATGCTCATTGGAGAGAGGCCATGGCAAAGAGATATATACTCTCATTGCCAATGACACATGGGATCTTGTTGATGTTCTACTAGGAAAGCGATGTATTGATGCTAAGTGGGTCTTCAAACTGAAATATCGTCTAGATGGCTCCGTGGAAAGGTACAAAGCAAGGCTGGTAGCAAAAGATTACACTCAAATAGAAGGTGTCGATTTTAACGATACCTTTGCTCATGTTGCGAAATAGTCACTATTCGGTGTCACTTGGCAGTTGCAGCTAGCCGAGGCTGGTTTCCTCACCAACTTGACGTCAACAATGCGTTTCTTCATGGAGATTTATCAAAAGAGGTCTACATGAAGATACCACCTAGTTTTGATCAGGCTGGTGATTCCCGCATTTGTCGATTGCGCAAATACATCTATGGATTGCGCTAGGCTTAGCAAAATTGGTATCAAAAGTTCACCACCTCTCTTTGTGATCTTGGTTTTCGTGCATCCCCGACGGATCATTCTCTTTTCATCTACAAAAGGGGGTTCGTATTTGTTGATGCCCTAATTTACGTTGATGATGTGATTTTGGCCGGCAATGATATGGGGTTCATTGATCACATCAAGCGGTTCCTTGATGACAAGTTCAGCATCAAAGACCTTGGGGTTCTTCGTTACTTTCTTGGACTAGAGGCTTCTCGTTCTCCTCGTGGTGTTTTCATCAGTCAGCGAAAATAGGAATGCGTTAGGGTGACAACTAAAATTTTAGTAGCCACCGTGGCTACATCACTATCTGTCGTTCATTTTTCTTATTTTCCTCCTTTTTTAATCTCACGGTTAATTTTGTTTCAGGGTAATTTTGGAAACAAAAAAGAGTCCACACCTGATTATTCTATATATTCTACCCAAACCCTAATCTACCATCCCTCCAACCAAACTCTAGACGACGGCATCACTGCCAGCTACCACCTCCGCTCCCTCTCCTTCTCCTCCGCCCACCTCCTCCACTCCCCTCCCCTCCC